ACAAAACCATTAAAACTAAATATAATTATCTGTGCATTTATGGTTTACATTTGATTTTAGTTTTAAATTTATTTCATTTCTGAGTGAAATTTGATTAAATATTTTAAAGTTAAAAAGATGAATTCATCTGTTGCTCATATTATGGACACAGCAATGATTTACTTATATCAAATATTAGTCACTTAATCATCGATACAATTGTCTGATAAATACGAGTAATCAGAACACAAACATACTTCAATTATAGTTTTCCAAAGATATATATCAGAAATCAAAGCTATTTTCATTTATGCTTACGATAACAATTCTTTTATTATTATTTAGTAATAACACATTGATGTAGATTAATTAACATCAAACCTAAATCATTACTATGAAGCTATTGAAAACTTTCTTACAAGCATTCTTGATTAAAATAAAGAAGTGTGCTTGCATTTTATTAATTATGGTCCAGATTTTATAGAAGAAAAAGTGGAAACAATTCAGCATGCACTTAAATTGCTTGAATTACCTTCTCCTAAAAGTAAGATAATAATTTGGATGAACAATCAGTATCTAGTTTAACCAAAGAAGGGTTATTTAATGATTTAATATTCTCTTAACTAAAGTGTGCTACTTAAATTTCAGTAGGATATAATTCAAAATCAAGAGGTTTATGAAAAGTTCACTTAAAAATAGATTAAATAAGTATAAGAGATCCACTAAGAATTTATTAAATAATTAGAATTGAACGAGTAATATGTACAAATGTATAACATATATTCTTTAATAAAAGATGTTACATTTATACATGATATACCAAATTCTATCTATTATTTAGCTAAATTTCTTGTGAATTTACCTAAATATACCTCTTAAGAGACTCTTGAAATGATATCAAAGCTTAAATTATATAAACAAAATCATGTATACATATAACTCTAAAAATAAACAAATTAAAAAAAAAATGATGGATATAAATAAGTGGTTTTAACTTAATTAGCTCCCTTTAAAGAAGAGAAGAATCGGCATTTTCCTATGAAAGGTCCTCATTGTTAGAAGTAAATGTACATTTATTATAATAGATGTAAAGTTTGTTAAAAATCAAATAATCAAAAGGTTCATAAATCAAGTTTTATTTGTGAAAGCTGTCATAAATACTATCATATAAATGTAACACTTTGTACGGATAAATGTTTTAAATAATTTCATTTAAATCCTGCATATTATTTAAAAAGAAAGAGAAGTAAGAAACAAACAAAGGTTGAAGAATGACAGTGTTTATTTTCTACATATATAATAATATATAAATTATCACAATTCACTTAATTTTAAAAGTTTATCTATATTTTTTTTTTCTTTTTTTCCTTTATATGTATCTTCATTAACAATTTCAGATGAATGAAAATCAGAAACCTATTATTTAGTTTCTACAACTTTATAAGCATTAGCAGAATCAACATGAAATTTTAATTTATGATTTAGCCAATGATATTTATCATTAACAATTTTTTCATCTTTAATTCTATCCTAAAATTTTCTTACTTTGTCTTCAAATGCTTCATTATGTGTTTATTCTTTCATATTTTGAATAAACCGCGCTCTTCTTTATTCTACTGTAGACAATAACATTTTTTCATGCTGTAATCTATCTCTAATCATTGGATTATTAGACCCAAATTTATTCACTTTAAATTACAAAAAGTCTGCCTTTAACTTTTCATACTCTTCCAATTACTTTTCTCTCTAAAGTCTTAACTCTTCATTCTCAATCTCTGAGGATTCAGACTCTGATGATTTTGAATCTGATTGATTAAAAATATATTCTACTTCTCCTTTTTAATTCTTTTTTATTTTGTAATTTAATAATTATTTATCTTCTAATGATATGTTTTCTAAAAACTTTTCATCCATTTAAATATTTCTATTTATATGATTTATTTATTATTCTTTTTAGATTTAATTATTATTATGTGATGTAATTTATTGTTTTAATTACAGAATTTTATTTTCTTCTTATAATTTTTTTTGTTTTTTTTACCTATAATGATAAATAAAATAGAATACTCTAATTCTTCTTGAGAAATAGCCTACTCTTTTTTTAATTTAGGATCATTTAAAACATCATGGCTATTAAAAATTTTATTTGGTTATTCATCAATTTCTTCTTCATCACCAAATGATAAAACATTTATATTTTTTTACTTTTATTTTGGTTTTTAAATTTGTTTCTATTATACTTTCTATTATTCTTAATAAATTTCTTTTTCTGGCGATTAATCCTTAATTTCAGTAATCGTTAGATTAAATGGATCTATAATAACTTATGTACTTTTAATAAAAATTGGTGTAATTGGTTAATCCTTTTCATCTGTGTCTACTTCATTCATAGCCATTAAATTATATCTTGTTTGACCTACAACCATACCAAATATAGTATGTCTTTTATCTAACCAAGAACATGGTTCAAAAGTTATGAAAAATTACGATTCATTTGTATTAGGACCTTCATTACTATATGCTAATATCCCTCTTGTACTAAATGTAAGTCTAGAATGAAATTCATCTTAAAATGGTTAACCATATATTGATTTCCCTCCTTCTCCTGTTCCTGTTGGATCTCCACCTTGAATCATAAAATTTGGAAACATTCTATGAAAGGAACAATTATCATAATATCCATTTAGACATAATTAAATAAAGTTTTTGCAACCCTTAGGCACTTCTTTACACCATAATTCTATCTCCAATTCTCCATGTGATGTATCCATTATTATTTTACCAGAGGTTTATGGAAATGACATTTATATTAATTAAATTATTCTAATAATTCAAATATCATTTATTATTACATTTCATTATCTCATAACCAAAAAAATTTTAAATACAGATTCATTCTCTTCACACTTAATTATACATCCCAAAAATATTGAATGCCATTTGTATAAATGATACTAAAATTATAATTTATTTAAAAGTTTTGATTAAAAATTTAAATAGTTTCACTTAGCATCATTACTATATTCTCAAAAATCTCATCATTTTTATCAATCACTAAGTCTGAACTATTTCTTTACCTCAAAATGAATTGCAAAAAATTCTTATTTTCTTCATTTTTTTAGAATTCTTAATAATTGATTTAAGGAATTAGATTGATAAATTAAAAATTTTCAAAGAGTTTTTATTTGTTCCTATTATATTTTTGCTCTCTTCTATAAGAGGTATTTCTTTTCTTTTAAAGGGGAATCTATAAAAATACAAAATTCTTAAATAATGATTTAAAATGTGTTTTTCTGAAAATCTAATTAATCTGAAAACAAGTAAAGGAAAAGTATTATTAAAAAGTCATATAACTAGGGTTTGTTTTGTGATTATTTAAATTGCCTAAAATTTATAAAAACTTAATTGTTTATTCTATACTGATTAAAATATACTAAATAGATGATCGAAATGAATGGTCAAATAATAATTTTAAATATAATATATAAGATAATTTTTAATTAATATTTTAATAAGCATATGATAAAAAAATTAGGAAGTAAAAAATTTATGCTTGAAGTAAAATTATTAATTACTTGAAATTACTCTATTTGAAGAACTTTTATTAAGTTTAATTAAAATTGCTCATTTTTCTTATCACTGTAAGAAGAACTTTGGATTTTTCATATATTAAATAATCAAAAAATTATTTATGATAATGTTTATATAATTTAAAAATACAAAATGAAGTAATCTACTGAGGAAAGCTAGGAGAATGAAGAATAATTAGAAGATGTTAAAAAAAAGTTTATTTATTAAACTGAAAAGATGAGATTATTATTGGAAGTACCTGTAGATAAGCGTAATAAAACAATTTGTTAAGATATCGCTTAGATTGCTGGAGTACAATAATGTAATCATAATTATTAGGAAATTCAATTTCTTAAACAATACAGAGATAAGCCAAATTTTTTAGACTTATGTAAACATCTGTTTCTAAAAACTTATAATAAACGAGAATATATATTTTAATAAGGTGAAACAGGTGATGCTTTTTATGTTATTTTAAGTGGAAGTGTAAAAGTGTATATAGAAGAGCCAACAGAATTCAGGAATTTTATGTAGTTGGTAATATATAAATTTCGATATAGAAAGAAATTGCAATATTACAAAAAGGTGATGCTTTTGGAGAAATTTCATTGCTATACAATTCTAAACGAACAGCAGCAGTAATGGCAGCAGAAAAGAGCGATTTAATTATTTTGACAAAAGAGAATTTTGAAGAATATTTAAAGAATGATAGTTAATAAGAAATGTAGACAGCAAATTTGAATAAATTAATACAATTTTTAGAAAAAGTTCCTATTTTTAAAATGTTCACAAAATCCTTATTAGTATAAATTTGTACAAAATGTACTATAGAACATTATTCTTCCTAATAAATTTTGATTAAATAAGGAACTGAACCTAATAATATGTATATAATTAAATAAGGATGTGTAAAAGTAATTAGAAAAATAAAAATAAATTATGGAAGTATGACTTCAAGAGAAGAAATGTCACAAAAATAACAAGATTTATTTTATGATATTGATGAACTTAGTGATTATGATGTTTTTGGAGATTATGCAATATTAAATGAAATGGAATCTGATTGTTCATTCATTACATCTATTCCTTGCTAAATAATTACTATTAGTGCATTTAATGTAAGAAAACTTCTTCCTATGGATATTATATAAATTTATAAATCATAATTAAAACGATATCCAGATGATGATGATCTATAATATTTATTTGAAGAAAAAGAAAGATGGAATCATTATAAGAAAAAACTAATTAGAAATATTAAAATAGAGAAATAAAATAAGAAGGGATTTGATCTAAGATTGAGGCTACCAGAATTAAAAACAAAAGAATTATCGCCACCTATAAATATAGTTGATATTAAAACAAGTGATAGTAGAATTTATTTTAAATTTTTGGAATCAAAGATTAGTCCTATGGCAGATAGTAAGAAGAAAGTTTCTTAGTTAACTTAGGTAGGATTTAATTCTTAGATTATTAAAGACTTAGAATTCTCCTAGGCATAACAAGCTTTTCAAAGGAAACTAAAAAAATTATAATATAAAAAGTATTGAATCAGAATATATATTTCAACAATATTTTAAATTCATTTATTTTTGTAGTTATATTTTAATTCTTTAATAACTGATTAAATTAGTTTTTTGTCATTAATCTTAAAATATTTCAGGCTAATTAATGATATATCAGTTAAATAATAACAGATTTTTCTGTAAAAAGATTGAATCATGATTAAAGAACTTTAAGATAACATTAATAACAATTAATTTATTAATCAAGATGGGAAGCAATTGTGCAACGTGTTAAAACTGTTAGAAAAAAGAAGAAGTTTTAATTAGTTTAGAGGTATAGTAACTATCAAGATAAATGAATCAATATTCATAATAACCAAATGAAGAAGATGATGATGAAAATAGTATGTTTCTTTACAGAAACATTAGATCTTGAAGATAAGAACTTGGAGAGCTCTAGCCAAATAGTGTAAAAATACTTGAACTTGGATTTAAAACCAAAAAAAGAAGTTGTCCAAATTCAGCAAATTCCTATCTCAAATGTTGACATTCCGCAAGCATAAATTGTAAAAACAATAGGTTAATACATTTTGTACATATTAGAGTCAAACTCAGATAGTAAAAAGAGAAAAAATGAGATGATGGTAAGAAATTAAGAAGACGTGTTTGAAACTTATATAAGCAAATCATAAAATTCAGTGAGAGAAAAGAGACCTCGATATGTATATAAAGTAATATAGTTGTTTGATAAGAATTATAGAGTGGAGCATATTATGATGGAGAATGGGTTGGCAAAAATAGGGATGGTTATGGAATATAGATTTGGAGTGATGGGGCTAAGTATGAAGGTGAATGGAAGAATAATAGAGCTAATGGGAGAGGTAAATTTTGGCATGTAGATGGGGATTTCTTTGATGGAGAATGGAAAAATGATAAGGCATGTGGTAAAGGTATTTATAGTCATTTGAATGGTGCAAAATATGAAGGAGATTGGATGGATGATTTGTAACATGGATTTGGAATAGAAACATGGGCAGATAGTTCAAAATTTGAAGGATAATATTAAAATGGAAAAAAGGAAGGATATGGAAAATATTTTTGGGCAGATGGTTCTTCTTATGTAGGAGATTGGAGTGATAATAAATTATCTGGATATGGTTTATATACTTGGCATGATGGAAGAGTATTAATATAGATTATTTAAGAAATATTTAGGATAATGGGCTAATAATTAAATGAATGGAAGAGGTATTTATATTTGGACGGATGGTAGACAATATGAAGGATTTTATTTGAATGATAAAAAACATGGTTATGGAATCTATGTTTGGCCAGATGGAAGAGTATTTGGAATATTATTATTTAGAAATATGATGGTTATTGGTTAAATGGAAAATAATCTGGAAATGGTAGGTATGTATTACAGAATGGTAAAAGCTATCTTGGGCTATGGTAAGATGGAAAAAGAATTAGATGGTTAGATTAATCAGAATATAATATAGATTTAAGACCTAAAGATTGGAATTCATATGTATAGCCATCTATGCCAGAATGATTTGTAAATTATTATTACTCTTGAACTTAAACATTCTTATCTAATCAAAATCAAATAAATCTATTTTTTTGTCCCATCTTTATCATAGTTTCTTTGAAAGGAAATAAAGAAATTATTTTATTAAAAATATTAAATAACGATTGTTTAATAATTATAATTAATTTTATATTGAATTTTACTTGAGATTATTTTTGATTCAATTAAGGGTTTACTTTTATTTCAATAGTTTACATTTTCCTCTATCAAAATTCTTTATTTCTTAAGTCATTTTCTAATATAAACCTATAATATACAATTATTAATTTAATATATATAATTATTGAGATACTAATAATATTTGTTTATTCGATTATCAATATTCAAAATAAGTTCAGAAATATCAATTTAATTTTACATATGATGAAACATTTATANCATATTAGAGTCAAACTCAGATAGTAAAAAGAGAAAAAATGAGATGATGGTAAGAAATTAAGAAGACGTGTTTGAAACTTATATAAGCAAATCATAAAATTCAGTGAGAGAAAAGAGACCTCGATATGTATATAAAGTAATATAGTTGTTTGATAAGAATTATAGAGTGGAGCATATTATGATGGAGAATGGGTTGGCAAAAATAGGGATGGTTATGGAATATAGATTTGGAGTGATGGGGCTAAGTATGAAGGTGAATGGAAGAATAATAGAGCTAATGGGAGAGGTAAATTTTGGCATGTAGATGGGGATTTCTTTGATGGAGAATGGAAAAATGATAAGGCATGTGGTAAAGGTATTTATAGTCATTTGAATGGTGCAAAATATGAAGGAGATTGGATGGATGATTTGTAACATGGATTTGGAATAGAAACATGGGCAGATAGTTCAAAATTTGAAGGATAATATTAAAATGGAAAAAAGGAAGGATATGGAAAATATTTTTGGGCAGATGGTTCTTCTTATGTAGGAGATTGGAGTGATAATAAATTATCTGGATATGGTTTATATACTTGGCATGATGGAAGAGTATTAATATAGATTATTTAAGAAATATTTAGGATAATGGGCTAATAATTAAATGAATGGAAGAGGTATTTATATTTGGACGGATGGTAGACAATATGAAGGATTTTATTTGAATGATAAAAAACATGGTTATGGAATCTATGTTTGGCCAGATGGAAGAGTATTTGGAATATTATTATTTAGAAATATGATGGTTATTGGTTAAATGGAAAATAATCTGGAAATGGTAGGTATGTATTACAGAATGGTAAAAGCTATCTTGGGCTATGGTAAGATGGAAAAAGAATTAGATGGTTAGATTAATCAGAATATAATATAGATTTAAGACCTAAAGATTGGAATTCATATGTATAGCCATCTATGCCAGAATGATTTGTAAATTATTATTACTCTTGAACTTAAACATTCTTATCTAATCAAAATCAAATAAATCTATTTTTTTGTCCCATCTTTATCATAGTTTCTTTGAAAGGAAATAAAGAAATTATTTTATTAAAAATATTAAATAACGATTGTTTAATAATTATAATTAATTTTATATTGAATTTTACTTGAGATTATTTTTGATTCAATTAAGGGTTTACTTTTATTTCAATAGTTTACATTTTCCTCTATCAAAATTCTTTATTTCTTAAGTCATTTTCTAATATAAACCTATAATATACAATTATTAATTTAATATATATAATTATTGAGATACTAATAATATTTGTTTATTCGATTATCAATATTCAAAATAAGTTCAGAAATATCAATTTAATTTTACATATGATGAAACATTTATAATAGTTAAAATAATCTACAATCACTCATTTTGAACTCGATATTAAATTGAGTGATAATTAACAAATAAACACAAATATTAAAAAAAATAGGTACTCTATAGTTTTGTCTAAAAATATATAGATATTTTGAAATTATTTAAGAGAAAAAAAATGTTGAGAAAAGTTTGATTGAATAATAAAATATTGAAAGTGATTCATATTTTAATGAAGAGTTATTACAAGAATTGATAAATTTAGTATAATGTTGCCATTTAATTAAATCAATGACTGATGACGATTCTAATCAAGCTATTCTTGCAATCACAAAAGTAGGATGCATGATTGCTTTTTTTATGTTAATTCTAATTGTAGGGAGCCTTCCTATCCGACTGAAAGCATTCAAATCAAATAAGGTATAAGTAGCATATGAAAAGTTCAGAAACTTTTAGCATATATGGGAGCATTTTCTGGTGGTTTATTTTTAGCAGTAGGATTAGTTCATTTGTTACCAGAGGCAGCAGAGAATTTTGAATAGTATTATGAGGATGATGAAGAGCATTTTCCATTTGCCTATGCTATATCAATAGCTAGTTTTTCACTAATTCTTTTTATTGAAAAAATAATAACAGNTTTATATTTGGACGGATGGTAGACAATATGAAGGATTTTATTTGAATGATAAAAAACATGGTTATGGAATCTATGTTTGGCCAGATGGAAGAGTATTTGGAATATTATTATTTAGAAATATGATGGTTATTGGTTAAATGGAAAATAATCTGGAAATGGTAGGTATGTATTACAGAATGGTAAAAGCTATCTTGGGCTATGGTAAGATGGAAAAAGAATTAGATGGTTAGATTAATCAGAATATAATATAGATTTAAGACCTAAAGATTGGAATTCATATGTATAGCCATCTATGCCAGAATGATTTGTAAATTATTATTACTCTTGAACTTAAACATTCTTATCTAATCAAAATCAAATAAATCTATTTTTTTGTCCCATCTTTATCATAGTTTCTTTGAAAGGAAATAAAGAAATTATTTTATTAAAAATATTAAATAACGATTGTTTAATAATTATAATTAATTTTATATTGAATTTTACTTGAGATTATTTTTGATTCAATTAAGGGTTTACTTTTATTTCAATAGTTTACATTTTCCTCTATCAAAATTCTTTATTTCTTAAGTCATTTTCTAATATAAACCTATAATATACAATTATTAATTTAATATATATAATTATTGAGATACTAATAATATTTGTTTATTCGATTATCAATATTCAAAATAAGTTCAGAAATATCAATTTAATTTTACATATGATGAAACATTTATAATAGTTAAAATAATCTACAATCACTCATTTTGAACTCGATATTAAATTGAGTGATAATTAACAAATAAACACAAATATTAAAAAAAATAGGTACTCTATAGTTTTGTCTAAAAATATATAGATATTTTGAAATTATTTAAGAGAAAAAAAATGTTGAGAAAAGTTTGATTGAATAATAAAATATTGAAAGTGATTCATATTTTAATGAAGAGTTATTACAAGAATTGATAAATTTAGTATAATGTTGCCATTTAATTAAATCAATGACTGATGACGATTCTAATCAAGCTATTCTTGCAATCACAAAAGTAGGATGCATGATTGCTTTTTTTATGTTAATTCTAATTGTAGGGAGCCTTCCTATCCGACTGAAAGCATTCAAATCAAATAAGGTATAAGTAGCATATGAAAAGTTCAGAAACTTTTAGCATATATGGGAGCATTTTCTGGTGGTTTATTTTTAGCAGTAGGATTAGTTCATTTGTTACCAGAGGCAGCAGAGAATTTTGAATAGTATTATGAGGATGATGAAGAGCATTTTCCATTTGCCTATGCTATATCAATAGCTAGTTTTTCACTAATTCTTTTTATTGAAAAAATAATAACAGATCATCATCATGATCATGGACATGATAATGAGCACTATCATAATGAGAATAATTCTAAAAATACTTAGATTTAAGATTAAAATTAACTCTTTGTGAATGGAAGTGTAGACACAGTAGCATTATTAGAAAATAAGAATAATGAAGAACAATTTAAGGATGTATTAAACACATAAGTATTAAAATTGTTAAAAATTGTTAGTTAATTGTAGCAAAAAAAGCATCATTTATACAAATGGTGAAGAAATCAATAGCTTAAGATCCTAAAAATTCTATAATTTATTAGGATGTAAACACATGGGCTCCTTATATTTTATAGATAGCTGTAGGTATTCATGCAGTTTTTGAGGGATTATCAATAGGAATTTAAGAAGAAGTATCTTTATGTATTGGTATAGCATTAGTAGTATTATGTCATAAATGGGTAATAAATAATAACAATAATATAGGCTGAGGGAATGACATTAGGATTAGCATTTAGAAAAGCAGGTGTAAATAAAAAAACATCAACTTATATGATATTGATTCAATCAATAATGAATCCAATTGGAATAGGAATTGGATGGATCATGGCTGATAAAGGTCCATTATATACAGGAATATTTGTATCAATATCAGTGGGTACTTTTATTTACATTTCAACGATGGAGACATTAATTGAAGAATTTTCAATTTCATATTATAAGTGGGAAAAGTACTTTATATTTTTAATTGCCATTGCATTTGTATCAAGTTTATGGTTTGTAGAATAAGCAGTTGGAGGAGAATGAATGTATTTTTATATATTAATAATAATAATTAAGTCAGAAATCTTATGTATAATATATTTGATTAATTTATTTAATTATGGATTAAAAATTTAGTGATGCTGAAATAGCACTTGAATAATTCAGACTTAAGAAGTTGATTAAAAATTTGAGTCAAGAAAGAACTGCTGGTACAAGTGTAGTATCTGTTTATATTCCTCCAAAAAAAATCATATCAGAAATCACAAACAGATTAAATACTTAATATGCAGAAGCAGCATCTATAAAAGATAAAGGAAATAGAATATCTGTTTAAGAAGCAATTTAAGCAGCTATATTAAGTATTTAAATAATATTATTTAAAGGATTAAGACCATATAATAAAGCGCCAAATAATGGATTAGTAGTATTTTGTGGTACCGTTTAATAAGCAGATGGAAGAGGAGAAAAAAAGATTTCAGTTGTTATTGAACCTTATAGACCATTAGATTTATCTTTATATTTTTGTGATCCACAATTCCACGTGGATGAATTGAGAGCTTTATTAAATATAGATCCACCTTTTGGATTCATTATTATGGATGGTAATGGATCATTGTTTGCCACCATTTAAGGAAATAGTAAATAAATTATAAAGTCATTTGATGTTGATTTACCAAAAAAACATAACAAAGGTGGTCAATCTTCTGTCAGATTTGCACGTCTACGTATGGAAAAAAGACATAATTATTTAAGAAAAGTATGTGAAACTGCTACAACTTGTTTTATTGCTGAAGATAGACCAAATGTTAAAGGTTTAGTTTTAGCAGGTTCAGCTGATTTTAAAAATGATTTAGCTGGCAGTTAATTCTTTGATAAGAGATTATAACCATTAATCATATCAGTAGTAGATATAAATTATGGTGGAGAATAAGGATTGAATCAAGCAGTTTAATTAAGTTAAGAATCTCTATTAGAAGTTAAATATATTAGAGAAAAAAATTTAGTTGGTTAATTTTTTGAAAATATCGACAAAGATACTGGTTTAGTTGTATATGGTGTTTAAGACACTATGAGAGCTGTTGAAGCATAAACAATCAAAACTTTAGTTTGTGTAGATACTCTATAATATTTACGTTTGGAATGTTAAAGCAAATAAACTGAATGTATGATATCATATATATAATTTTTTAGAAAAAGCTGTTAAATACATGAAAGGGAATGAAGGATATGAAACTGGTACATTGATTGAAGAAAAAAATGGTGAATAATTTATTATTCTCGCTAAAGAGGATTTGGTTGAACATTTGTCTGAGAAATTCAAAGATTATGGATTAGATTTTTAATTAATTACTGATCATAGTGTAGAAGGCAATTAATTTATGAAAGGTTTCAGTGGATTAGGAGGATTTTTGAGATTTAAAATAGATATGGATTATTTAGTATAACAAGAAGATTGGAAAGATGAAGACGAAGATTTTATTTGATTTGCATTTTATTTTGTTAAATACATTAAGTCTATATATAGTAATTTACTTTTTTTTTTTTCATTAATTATTCCATAATTTTATAAAATATCTAAAATTCAGTTGCATTTATATTTTTATAGATCATCACTCAATAAATTGGAATTGTTTTTGTAAATAAGAAATGATAGTTGGATCACTTTAAGGTCTGGTTGTGTAAATAAAGAAATTAGAATCATGAACTAAAAGTAATAAGCTTTGAAGAAAACATATGATCTTTATTTAAAATGATCGCACATTCTTATTCATTAGAATTTTTTTAAGATTTAGATAGATATTGTATTTTAATTTATATTTAGGCAAGTAGAGTTCTTATTTTTTCTTTCAAATTTTTTGATTTCTTCTTTAAGTATTAATTATACTTTTTTGAAAGAGTGTAAATCATTCATAATTTGATAATAGAGTCTTATAAGTGTTTAATTTAAATGGAAAATTAAAAATTCTATAAATACTGAACCTTTGAATTCAAATTCTTTTAATACACAGTTACTAAAGATATGAATTTCATCCATGAACCATAACTATGACTTTTTTTGTGTAAAATATTGTTCTTTTGAAGAAGAATTAGTTATTTTAGAAAAGATGTAGAATTCTATTAAATTCAGAATTTTTGAAAATATTTTGTATTAATAGGATAGAATGATATTATATATATTTTCTATACAAGCAAAAGAAGTTATAGTATAGTATTGGATTGTGTATTGATTTATTAAATAACTGAATTAATTTTTTTGAATGAGTGAAATAAATGAATCAATAATAGAAGCTCCTTTAAAGGCTTTACTTGAAGATGTAAATATTTATATTATGATGAAAGGTATTGTTTTGTTTAGAAGGATATTTAGAAGGTTAAAATGATTTAAAGATGATTGAAAATTAATTAAAAGATTATGATACATTGGTTGGACTAGTGAAAATAATAGGGAATGTTTTTAAGACATTAATGAAGAAAGTAGAGAAGAAGATGAATCAATTAAAAATGAACATAAATGATAATAATAGTTCTTATAGAAGTTATCATGCTGAAGAAGAATATGAGAAATTGGAATAAATAATATAAAAATATGAAGCAGAAATAAGAGGACATATAAGTGTAAGAAACATATATATGATTTTATTAAAGATTGAATAATAATTGAAATTGTATAATGAGAGTTTGTAATAGAAGATTGAAGACATGGAAAAATAACATAAAGAGACAATAGAATAAATGCATAAACAAATGAATATATTAAAAAAGGATTTAGGTAAATCTACAGAGAGTTAAAGATAATTAATTAAAGAAAATGAACATTTGAGAGAATCTGTAGAACATCCTCCAAAAACTATTATGCATACTGAAGGAGAAATTAATGGGAGAATTAAAGATAAAAAGTAAATTGTATAAATTTATTAGTTTTGTCATTCAGATCATAGATCAAAGAAGATAGATTATAGTAGTGAATATCCTACATCAAGTATTAATTTACAATCTTAAAACTCTATTAGACATTCTATTCCATTTAAATCTCAATCCTAACATCATAAATCAATCAAATTAAACAATTAGATTTAACATCGTAATTCATAAGAATAAGATTTATTTATTAAGTATAATTAACTCTTAAAATAACATGCTTAATCTATAACCTAAAGATCTTAAATTATATAAGCTAGTTAATATTTACTCAAAGGAGGTTTTGTAAATCATAATAAGTAGAGAAATACTCTTAATATTATATCTGATATATGTAATGCTTAATAATAAAAATCTTCATAAAGAAATAAAAGTCAAGGTAATAGTTCTAAAACTGGAAATAACAATAATTCTTAAAATAATATCAATGCTAGTAATAAAACTACTACCCAAAAGATTATATCAGAAACATCTAAAACTAATGAAGCCATTTAAAGATTACTAAAACTTAAATGATTTATTTATTTATTTATATATTCATTTTTGCATTTAAATTTAATAATACATCTATATTCAATCAATAATTATCATCTTAACAATAATCAATCACCTCTTTTATTTCTTTGAACTCAATTGGAATCAAATCATCTACTAATCTATTTATATATCGATTTCTTGTATCATTTTCTATTATTCTATACGATATCCATATACTCTATCTCTTATCTTCACAATTTAAAGCCTATTAATTTAATATATCTAATCTTTTACTTTATCTAACTTTTTTAGAACACTTACTTAATATTCCATCTCTTCATCTATTGCATATTATATTCTCTTTTCTAATCTTTATTTTACATCATTCCAATTTCTATATAAATCTTCTATTGTCTTTATCATATCCCATTCTACTACACTATTAGCAAAATTTGTAAACTTCTCTTCTGAAAATAAATTCTCCTCTATTGAAAATGTTATAAATCTATCAAATGACATTGCTTTCTCTCCCTCATTATTAGTTATTAAATCACATCTAGATAAAAATTTTCTCTCCATTACACTTATTGGAGTCTAATTTCCTTAATTTGCTTCAAAATAATAATATAATTTCTTAAATTCCTAATATTCCATCATATTATCTAAATCCATATCAGCTGAATTAAAAACCTCCTAATAATGTTTCATATGCATCTTCCTTATTATCTCATAACCTTTTTATTATTCTCTAATCTTTACCTGTCAATATTCTACTTATATAATAATCATAATCAATATAAGGTCTCATATTTCTCTCTATGTAATTCATCTTTATATCATATATTATATTATTTCTATACTCCTAAGGAATCTAACTATGAATTGTTTCTAAAATTACTATTGCCTTCTCAACCAATATATATTAACCCTAAAATTATATTTTACTTTAACTTTATCTGTGTAAAGTGTCTAATTTTCTTCATCTAATTATTTTAAAGTCTTTATATATATTTCTAAATCATCAAGAGTTAACGAACTAAATAATTATAAAAATCTTCCAAATAAATTTACTCTAATATTTTCTCTATGGACAAATATAGATTCATAAAAATGAATCATTTTTTATTCAGCAATATTCTTAAAACCATATGTATTAAAAAAGTATTCATAACATAATATATGTAAAGATGATTTATTTTAATTTTATTTTAATTTCTCCCCATAAAATTATTGTATTAATTTTAATACTGCTCCTTTTTTCATCTTTGCTACAATTTCTTTTTAATTTGTTGCAAATTTTGTTGCAAGTTATTTTATTAAATTAGTTTTTAAATAATTCAAACCTGGACTTTCAATTGATTATTTATTTTAAAATTCTAAAAATTTATAGTTCCAATAATTTTACTTGGAGCTTATGAAAATTAATATTTTTTTGTTTGATTTATTTATTTTTTTCTCTATTTTATTTCTTCTAATTTTAAATTGTATTCAGAATCATCGCTATCTGATTCTGTTGAAGAAAAATTAGAATTAATAAAATTAGATATAGTATCATGGAAGTATTGCATTTAATCATTCTCTTTTGTCATCACAGACCCTCTTTATTATATCTTTGATCCTTTTCTATTTACTTAATTTATTGGAGCTTGCTTAAATAACTAAATTATTTTACTAATTTCTAACTAGGCCTTGGCTTATTTTAATTTTTATTTCTTGTTCCATTTTATTAAAAATCAATCGAATCCTAAATAATTTAAATATTATTTTACATCCTCACTTAAAAATTAATTTGTCTATTATTAAGTAAACTATTATTAAACTGCTTAATTATCTTAAAATTAATTCACAGAAATATTATATTAAGAATTTTAATTTTTCTCATTTTATGATGAAGGTATTTCTAGAATATTTTATAATAATAATTATTATTATTATTATTATTATTATTATTATTATTATTATTATTATTATTATTATTATTATTATTATTATTATTATTATTATTATTATTATTAAATAACACTTCCTCTAAATTATTTTTATTTAACAGAATTAACTTCATTATTAGAGATTTCTGATTTTTCTTATTAATTTTGATACTCTGTTTATTCATTAATAATAATTTGAGGTGTGCTTGTAATTGAATTTTAGTGTTAGATTTAAGGTTAAACTGTGGAAAATCGAGATTTTGGAGTACTTTAATTAGGAACTAAAGTACTCATTCTCTTATCCTAAATTTTTTTTTTCATAATTTCTGCAAATTTATGTGTTTAAGTCAATTAAACAACTAAATTTTATGTTTTAGCAATTAAAGTTGATTTCACAGACTTTATTCGTTAATACTTCTTTTCAATTTTTTCATTCATCTATTTATAAAAATATTAACATTACTTTTTCATATAAATCTAATTATGCTTCTAATTCAACCATCTCTTGATTTGCTAAATCATTATTTTTTTCTAGTTCAGTTATTCGTTTTTACTAAATATAAATAAAATATTTACATATTACTAAAGTTACTCTTCTTTTCTATTATTTTCATCTTTAAAAGTACTATTTACTAAAATCAAATTTGTTCGAAAATCTTTTTCCTGATAAAGATTCTCTCTAAATTTACTTCGAAATTCTTCTAAATTTCCAAAAAGTTCTTCAAATTATGGATTCTCCTCACAATTTTAAGTCTAATTATAAATTTTTTAGTATTAATCTTTAGCCTTTTAAATTGCTGCATATAATAATTCAAGATGTTGCTCTTCTATTCTAATAGATTCTTTAAACTCTTCAGATAGATCAGTTTATACACCTCTTGATATTTTATTTAATGATGAGATTTCTGTTTATGTAATTTATTACCTTCTATCTTTTATTTCAAATCTATTGAATTAATTTTATTAAATACTTAGGTATATAAATTTATTATTTATTTCTTTCAATAGTTTAGATTTCTACATCTTTTGTTAAAGATAAAATTTAAATTAAATCATTCGTATCTGTTTCTTTTTCATCTAATAAAATTTCAAGATCTCCAACTGATAGACTATCATTTAATGCTTTTTAAAGTTTTTCTTAATCTGTATCAACTTTTTCTAATTGTAAATAACTTGTTCTCTAAATAGGTTTTATTTCTGGAAGCTATGGAATTTAATGAATTGTTAATTTTCTTTCTGTACCAGCTCTTATTAATTTTTATTTTGATTAATTTTCTTGATCATGAATCTTTTCACTTTTTTATTATTTTTGAGTCTATAAATAAAATTATTCAAATTATATTTGAACATTTTTTTGATAATCATGTAATTCATCTGTAATTTTTTCAATTTAATCTAAGTATTATTTATTATCATTCTTTAATTCTTAGATTTCAGTCTTTTAAATTCTTATCTAAGTGGTTAAATATCTATTATTTTTTTTTAAATATTTTGTATTATCTTTTAATTTAATAAATCTTGCCATTACAGAATCCATATCAGCTTTTTATTTTTTTTAAATAATTAAAAATTTATCTATTTCAGCTTGATATAATTAATGTGTTTTCATAACTTCAGATAAATGATCTTTTTCTAAGATATTATTTTAATCGAGAATAGATTGATAAACTGATGTATTAATGTCTACGTATTATGTCCATATTTTCTCTAATAAAACACTATAATAATGATTTTGAAATAAAACCTTTTTTCAATACAATCAAAGGAAATCTATCTTATTAATTCTTTTAAGCATAATGAGAAAATTTATTACAAATCTTCATACATATTTGCTGATTGTCCTTAGTTTTTTTCAATAGCTTATTCTAGCATAAGATCAGTCCATTCAGCTAAAGCTTTAACATCATGTCTAATAGAATATTATAGTATTGAATACTTAAGTGGAATTCCTCTATGAATTTTATCTTTGACTACTCTTTTTGTTAGATTTGATGAAAACTTAGTTAATTGGATATTTCTGTCTGTTAATTCTGTTGGTAAAATGACCTGTGCTTAAGAGATTTCTACCTTTTCTATTGATAAAATTTACTATTAGAGGGAACAAACTAAAGGCCTTCTAATTTTTTAGGATATTTATATGGGTCTTAACTATTCAATTAAGCAAAAAAATCGTTTTTATCCATTTTTTTCAATTTATCAATATATTAAAGTTATATATCCTTTAAAATAGGAGATTAATAGTAAGTCTATTTGAAATGAATAAAAATAGATACAGATTATGAGATGGTTTTTGATTTTTCAATTCTTGATTTGATATTGGTTTAATTTGTATCAGTCTACATTCTAATAGATTGTTGTTAATTGTTGGATTTGATGGATATAATTTTTTCTGAATTTTAATGTGAATGTTTAGGAGTCTAAGAGTTCCTAAATTAATGAAATTTTGTCCCTTCCATTTTTAATAATATAATTATATAATTTGAAGTAAAATGGAATTTGGTGATTTTTCTAGACTACTTTCAGAAGAAGATGAATTAGTTTAAGTATCAAAAGCATATTTAGAATAATTAATTCTAAAAAATTAGCCACCTTAAGCACTTCCAGTTGAAAAAAAATCCTGTAAAAAAATTGTAATAAAATAAACCGCCAAGAAATAAAAATCATATTAATTTGCTGATGTTCACTAATGGACAACAACATAATTTGATTGGGATACAAAAGTATTAGAAGCATTAAAAGGAGGATTTGGTAAAGAATAATTTAAAGCAAATTAAAAAGCAATAATAAATTGTGTTTTAGCAGGAAAAGATGTTTTTGTTTGTATGCCTACAGGATATGGTAAAAGTATAACATTTTAAATACCAGCTTATGTAGAAAATGGTATAAATAAATAAATTTGATAAATAGGTGTATCAATTGTTGTAATGCCATTGATATCATTAATATTTGATTAAGTATAATATTTAACAAGTCTTGGTATACCAACATTAAATATGAGTGGTTCAAATAAATTATTAACAGCCTAATAAATTTTGGACTAAAAAATAAAGTTAATTTATACTACTCCTGGTATTATATTAAATTCAAATTAGAAAAAATTGAAAAATCAGAATAATTTAAATTAATCTTAAGTGATTTATTTAATAGAAAATTAATAAAAAGATTTGTAATAGATGAAGCACATTGTGTAAGTAAATGGGGAAGAGATTTTAGACCAGATTATTTAAAATTAAGTAATGTTAGAAATGAATATCCAAATATTCCAATTATAGCATTGACAGCTACAGCACCAGAAGAAGTTAAAGAAGATATCATTGATGTACTATAAATTAAAGGTTGTTTGTATTTACAATCTTCATTCAATAGACCTAATCTAATATATGAAGTAAGATTGAGAGAAGAACTTAAAAAAGCTGTATAAGAAATTAAAGAATTCATTAATTCAACATATCCAAAATAATCTGGTATTATATATTGTTTAACTCAATCTGAATGTTAAACTTTATCATAAAATCTTAATTATCATGGTTTAGGATCAGACTTTTATCATGCTGGTCTTACTGAAAAAGAAAGACATAGAATTCATAAAAATTGGTTAATGAATGAAGTACAAGTTATTGTTGCAACTGTAGCATTTGGTATGGGAATTGATAAAAAAGATTGCAGATTTGTTATACATTATTAAATGCCAAAATCTATTGAAAATTATTATTAAGAAAGTGGAAGAGCTGGAAGAGATGGCAAATAAGCACATTGTTTATTATTTTATAATAATACTGACTATAAAACTAATTTAGTAATTTTATTTATATCACTTATATAGTATCTCATGGATTAAAATACAGAAATGACAGCTTAAATGAAAAAATATAATGTTAAAAAATTGGATTAAATGTAGTAATTTTGTTATGATCGAATTTCATGTCGAAGAGTCTTACAATTATCATATTTAGGTGAAAATTTTGATCCTGCATTATGTAACAAAAAATGTGATAATTGCTAAAGAGATGATGAAAATGCAGAAAAAATTAATTTAACTAATGAAGCACTCAAAATTCTTGATTGCTTAGAAAAATATCCATTAACTGAAAATTAATTAATTTAATGTTTAAAAGGACAAGATAAAAAGAAATCTAATAATTCATAAAAAAATGCTGAATAAATTTTTGGATTATTTAAACATAACACTCGTTATATTAGTCCTTTATTAGATTAATTAAGAGCTTAAAATGCCTTAAGCCAAAAAGTATAATGTTACAATCTCAAAGGCAATTTCCAAAATAAAGTTGTCTACTTAACTCCTAATACTCAAACATCTATTAAAAGTGTTATAGTAACCATTCCTAAAGAAAAAGATAAAAGAACATCTGTTTTAGATTAAAAAAGTAATGAACTTTTTAAAAAGTATTTATCAAAAGAAAATAATAATTAAAATAATAATGGAACTAATGTATAAATTAATTAAAATTTTTATTAAAAAGAATTTACATGGTAAAATGGTACTATATAAGAAACTGAATAAAAAAAATTGTAATATGATAAACAGTATGGTTATTGCTTAGAAAGTCAATTTAATGATTTACGTGAAAGATTGATGTTAGTACGTAAAAATATTTATAAAGAAATGACAAATGATGCTACAAATTAGATTATCAATATTGATTTAGTTTTATCAACTGATGACATTGAAGAATTATGTAAAAAACTTCCTACTACTATGAATGAATTAAATGATTCATTCATTTGCATAGCTTAGGAAATTAAAAAATTACAATATATGAAACATTTTATAGAAGAAGTTGCACATTTTGTAGACATTGAAGAAATCAATAAACAAATGTTTGAAAAACGTATATATATATTATATCTTTAATTATAGCTAAATAAATTGAAACTCAGGTTGATTAAGTTTTTGAATTTTAAAAACATATAAGATAAGATGATGATGTTGTTGATATTACTAATTAAAAATTGATTGGTAAAATATATCATTTAAGATTTTAGCTTAATAAAAAGAGGTTGATGAATTATTAATAAACGGTTATGAGCATGATGATTTTATAGATGGAGTATAAAATATTTTAAAATTTTTTAGTTATTAAACTTAATTGAGGAAGATGAAAATAATAAGTCTCCTGATATTCTTATTATAGATGATGATAATATTAAAAATGATTTTGTTAATAATAAAAAACCTCAAAATTAACAAACCACAAATTTAGAACCTGTTCAATAAAAATAAAATTAATAAGAAAAATAAACTGATAAAATTGAAAATAATTAACAATCAAAAAAGCTAAAAATAAATTTAAAAAGGTCATTTTTATGAATGGTTAATTAATATTTTATATTATGTATATTTTATTTTTTATCAGTAAACTTAAAACTATAATAACAAAATTTAGAAATATTCTATTAATATTTTCCACCAGAAATACTTTTTATAACTCAATTATCACCTATCTTATTCATTTAATGAAAAAAATTATTTCAATTATAGTAAATATGTCTAAAATATTTCCCTTTATCTTTATTAAAAAATTATTAATTATATTATTCATTTTATACTAAATAAATGATAACTAAACAAAATAAAAAACAAAATTTGACAAATTTATTTTTGAAAATTCTTGAAAAAAATAATGAAAAATATCAGATCTTTGGGTGTTAAAAAATTTTTACTTTTGATTATCAATCATAAAACATAAAATCTAATTTATGTTTCTATTTAATAAATATAAATGAAAATCATTTAATTAAAAATAGTTTTTTACATGAAAAAAAAATGAGATTTTTTTTAATTAAATTTTCAGTATTTCAAAAATAGGTTCAATTTAATAAAAAAATTTTGAATAATATTAAATAATAATATAAAAAAAACAATCAATTTTTTATTATTATAGATTAAATATCCAAAATAAATTGTAGAATTTCTATTTAAAATTTATTTTACAAATAACCGAACTTTAAATTAATAAAATATATATTTTTTCAATAATATAAAAATATAATATAGAGAGATAATTTTTATCAGAAACTTCCTCTCAAGCTCCTAATTTGGGCGTTTCCTTTATTTGTTCAATATCAGATATTGCTTTTATTTATAAAATACCAGGTTGTTCTTCCATTTATAAAATACCAAATGTTGGTTTTTTTTCAAAAATACTAGATGTTTATTTCATTTATAATATTTCAGGTGTTGCTTTGATTGTTGTTGATATATATTTTTAAGGATATATAAAACTTAGAATTTTGTCAATAAAAAATCTAATTTTTTTGTATTTTTTGTAAAGTAGTTTCCATTATTATATTGCATCAACAACTAATTGAATACAAATTATTGATGTCATGAAAAATATACAAATCCAACCTAAATTTTATTATTAATTATATGTAAGGAACCCAAGTTCATTATCAAAAGTTAAAAACATAAGGAAAATTAATGTAAAGGTTATGTTAATTTCACAAGATAATTATTTGATATATTCATTGAAATCTTCTAAAGGTTTAAAAATTATTAAAAAAAAAGACATTGATGCTGAAAGTAAGACAATACTACAAATTTAAAAAGGAGGAAAGTAATAGCCAAATACTAAAATACTCATAAATATTAACTTCTTAATGAGTAGAATAGCATTGAAATATTTTGAGATTGATTATTTTTTTAATCCTTCAAAAATAGATCCATATTTTTATTAAATTGATCTACATTTGATAGAATATAGTTTCATTTCTGAAAGTTAGATTACAAAATAAATGCTAATTAAATATAATCCAAAAGCCAAAAGGCCAAGATGTGAACTCAAAAAAATGAATGCATTTTAAGAAAGCAAATCAATTTACTGTAGTTAAAGTACTATACTGAACGTTTAATCATAAGAAGTTGCCATGTGAACTCTAAGAATGCCACTATAAAAAAATTCTGATATTAGGATGTAACATGAATTTATTATAAAGTTTTTGAATGTGAGATAATATATACTTATTTTTATCAGCTTTGAATCTTCTGTTAAATTTTCATAAAAAGTTAATTTGATAGAGAAAAATAATTTTGGTATTACTTTGCAAACACAATAAATCAAACATAAAAACATCCAAATTACTAAGATAGTAGACATATTTATTAATGATAGAAGTGTAATGTAATCTGCAGCTATTTTTTTTGGATTTTGTTTAACTACATTTAAATCTAAAACTGAATCAAGAAAATCTGAGAAATCATATACTTTTTAGATGAAATTGATTTATGCAAATCCGAATAAATTAAAATAAACTTTTAAATTGTAAGGAAGCTCTAAATTTAAATATTTAAAATATGATAACACTTATAGGTTATCTAATAAGTTAAAAAATATATCAATTCCTCCAAAAATTAGAGATCCTACAAACATAGCTCCAATAAAATATAATAAATAGGTATTAGTTTTAGTAATATTTTAAATTTATAGTATTGTATCATCTTCAATAAAAATTAATTTTGGTATATTACATTTTATTTCACTATCTATTTGAGAGTAACCTAGAAAGGATTTAATTTAAGATAGAGAATGAAATTTGATAATAAGGCTTTCTCGTTTTGAATTTCTACTAAAGAATATGTTAATGATTAATATTAATTGTGCTTTATTTGGTTCATCTAATTATTAAATTTATTAAATAAGCTCAAATTCTTGATCAATAGTTGAAATGGTTGATTCTTTTTAGAAATGTAAGGATATAAATTGTTTTAATTAAAAGTCTGTATGAATAAATAAATCTACATTATAAGATAATTAAAATTATCTATTGTTTGAATAAATTTATGAATTACCAACACTTTATAAATAAGGTTTTGGAAAGACAGGAATAATACTTAAGCCATTTTATAAAATGTAATTATTTTCTAATTGGCATTGTGAATTGCATCCATCACCTTTCAAAATATTCCCATCATCACATTCTTCATCTTATGTTTTTATTCCATCTCCACATTTAGAATAACAATTAATATTGAGATTGTCTATATAATAACCATTTGTATTTTAACAATCGAGACATTTGTTATTCAAATTTTGTTTATATCTGCATCTTAGACAATTATATGGTTATTTTATACATTCTAAACAATTATTTTAACATTAAACACATTAATTTTAATCTAAAAAATATCCAATTTCACATTTAGTACAAAAAGATTTTTTATTCATTTAATCAAAATCACAGATTATACAATTCATTGGACATAAAAAACAAATTGATTATTAGAGTATAACATTGAGACATGAATAATATTAATCTATTAAGTTAATTGAACATCCATCTCTGTTTATTTCATTACCATCATCACATTCTTCTCCATAAGTCCAAATAAAATCAGTTGGGTTTTTATATTAACAACTTTAAGTTATTTTGCCTTCATCTGAATCACAAGGATAACAAACTTTATTTTCATTCTCAAAATAATTTTTAATACAAGGGCATGAATTTCCTGTAAGAGTTCTTAATTTAGATTAATCACAGCTTAAACAATTCAAAGAATTATCAACACAAGTAAGGCAAGTATAATCACATAATAAACAAAATTGTTGGAAATAATAATAGCCTTATTTACATTCGCATTTATTTTATTCATTTAAAAATAAATTTGAAATTTAAGCACACTCTTAACATTCATCTTAATTAGAACATTTTTTACAAGGATATTTACATTATAAGCATTAGTTGTTGTTTTCATAATATCCTCTTTTGCATTAGCAAGTTTTATTAATAGAGTTGATTTGATAATTAATTCTACAACTTTGACAAAGTTATGCTTATATTAAACATGTTTAACAATTTAGATTGCATTATATACATTGATCTTCTTTAATGTAATATCCATCCATACATTGGATGCAAAATTATTAATTAACACAATTTTTACAATTAGGTATACAATTTATACATTATCTATCCGAATTAGGAAAATAACCATCATTACAAATTTCACAATAAGTTTGATTTGAACAAGCTAAACAATTGTTAAGACATGGTAAACATGAACTATTAGAAGTTAAATAAAATCCTTATTTGCATTCATGACAATTATTGATTCCAAAACAATTCTTACAATTGAAATCACAACAGTAATCTTAAAATTAAATAAAACCTGGTTTGCATTAACATTAATATTAATATATTTATGAATTAGGATCAAGACATGTTAAACATTTATTGTATGAATCTATACATGTGTTACATGGTTTTTAGCATTAAGCACAAATAAATCCATTAAAATAGTATTAGTCTTTACAAATACATTTTTAATTAATATCTACTATTTGATTAATGTCAATACAATTAATGCAACCCTAAATATTACATTCATTGCATGGTTCTTTACATTTTAAACATGTTGATATTGTATTAGAATAATATCCAGATTTACATATACATTATAAAGTCTTACTTATATAATGATTAGGATCTTCACAAGAATCACATTGTTATGTAGATGAATTACAAGTTTTACAAGGTTTTTCACATTGAATACATTAAAAATTTTAATTATTTACCCATCCAGGTTCACAACTACAAGTTTCACCTGATTAATGAATGTCATCATTACAAGTTATACATTTATTTATTGCTAAATTACAATCTTTACAAGGTAATTAACATTAAATACAATTTATACCATTTATGTCTAAAATCCATCCTGTTCTACATAGACAAAAATTTTAAATATCATCATATATTAAAATTTGATTAAGATCAATACAACTTAAACAGTTGAATTCTGAAATTGTACAAGTTTTACAAGGTGCAATACATTATAAACAAGTTACATCATCAATTTGTATATAACCTTCTGGTGAACATTCACATCCACCAATTATTTATCCTATTTAAAAATTTGGTTGACAACTTAAACAGAAGTCAGAACTTTCATGACAATTGAAGCAAGGTTTTGTACATTCATTACAAGTAGAAGAATAATCCCAATAATATCCATCAACGCATGACTAACATTTTGAATTATTATCAACACAAGTTTTGCAAGGAATTTAACAAGGTAAACATTATGAATCTGATAAATACATTCCAATAATGCAAGAGATGCAATTTATACTTTAAATTTCACATTTCTCACATGAATAATCACATTACTAACATTAATTATCACTATCAAGATATTGACCGTCATCACAACTTTGACATACTAAAATGTAATTTATTGTATTTATTACATTAAGTAAAAATCAGAACCAAAAGCCAATCTAATAAAGTACTAAAAGACATTTTAGTTTAAAAATGAAAAATTAATATTGGATTCTATTTAAAGATTTTTCGTTAAATTCTCAGAATTTCTCTATAATTTTATTTTCAAAACTAAAATTGTACTAATACATCTAAGTATTTTCACATGAATTATAAATATTAAGAAGTAAAGTATTTACAAACTTTATTTAATTGATTTGACTTACATCTAAACTTATTTTTAGGTATTCATTCAAATATTTCACTCTAATTTTATATTATATATAAACTTTATCAATTTATAGATAATAAATAAATTAAAAAATAAATTATATATATATTAAATTATTTTAATTGTGAGATTTCATGAAAATAGAAAGAGTTATCACTTACATTTTTTTCTTGTTGATTTTATTTGATGTTTTAAGACCTCAACCACATTCATCATAATAGACATAATAATCACAAGAAGAATAGTTATAAACATAAACATAAATAAATTAAGATTAAGATTAAGATCAATAAAAAGAAAGAACTATTTAAGAAGATATTGATTTAGAAAATGCAGAATATATTGAATCAACATTACCTATTAATATTGAAATATTTTATTGTAATCGAACAGGATTACATACATAATATTAAGAATTGGAAAGAAATATCTACCTCACATTTCCAAAAAATAAAAATTTAAATGTAAATCCTGGAGAATATCCAGTGCCTGAAATAAATTAATAATTATCAAAGGTTATTAAAATAAAAATGATATTTTTAGTTTGTTAATTATGGTTAATATGCATTGATGGCAGCTATGTTTTTCCATAAATAATTATTTGCAATGTTTTCTTTACCTGTACCTGCTATTGTTGAAAAAATAGTGGAAAAGAAAATGTTTGTTTTAATTGGAGCTATTTTTCTAGTCCAATAATTACAAAATTCATTACTTACCACAGGTAAAATGATGGTTTATGTGGATTCTAAACTAATTTTGGATTAAGCAGCTCCAATATAAATAGATAAAGTGTTTTAATTAATAAAAACTGAGTTATTATAATTATAATGAAACCAATATTTCGTGGAGTCTTAATTATGAAATACACAGACAATTAAGAAGAAGTTACTCTTGATTAACTTAAAGAGTATCTTAAGGAATCAGGAAATTACAATGAAGAAACATTCTCTCAAAATGTAGATATTTTTCAATAATTAATTGATGATCTTATCTAAAATGATTCAGAGTAAACCTATGAATAATATGTAATTAATTTAATATACTCATTTAGGGAATATCACCTTAAGAATTGCATTAAACTTGGTTAACTGAAAAAGATAGAGTTTTATCATATTATATCAAAAAGAGAACATAAGGTTAAAAAGTAATTCTCTTTTCTATTTTTATCTTAGATTGAGAAATTTTAATGGTCAGTTAATAATTAATTTTATTCTAAGAAAGCTAAAAATATTAATAAACCTGTTTGCATAATGAATCTAAAGGTATTAATTATAAAATGTTATATATAGTCTAAAGATGTTGTTAGTAAAACACATAAATTTCATACATTTGAGATTAATGAAGAGGATTTGAATTATATTGAAGATTAAATGAAAAAAATAGAGTAAACTATAAATGCTTTGCTTTTGTGATAAATTATAGAATCAAATAATTATATTATTTAATAATCTATAATCATCATTTAATTTTGATATTCGATTTAAATTTTGCATTTAACAATGAACTAATGAAACTATAAAATTTATTCATCTTTTTTCTAACAAATTTCTATATTTTTTTGGCTGAAATTTGTTAACCCATCTCTATTTTCTTTCTCATTAAATCTTTTGAATCAAAATAATTAGCTAAATGTTATAAACAATCTAATTAATTTTTGATTAATTCAACTTCATGAGTAAAATCATCTTTTTTAATATATTATCTATTAAAATTCTCTGAACTAATAATTACAGCATCCTTATTTTATTATAACTGTTATTTTTATTTTTCATCATGTAATTTCTAAAATGTAGATCCTTAAGGAATTCTATAATAAATTAAGATTCATACATGTCTTATAAATATAATCTACTATTGAGTAGATGATTAATGTTTCTGATAACACACATATATTTATCAGTCATTTAAACAAAGCTCAGTTAACTACTTTAAAGAGATGAAAATTTAGTTTCAATAAAATTTTCAAACTCTTCAAATTCATTAAACAATGTTTCTAGTCCAATTTCAACTAAAAGTTCTTTCACTGGTTTTTATTAATTAATAAACTAATTAATATAATAAATAATACTCTTTTATAAGCCTCAGTTACAAGTATAAATTATTATTGAGATGGATCAAATGCAAATTATTCATTTATAAAATGAGGCAATTAAGTGAGATTTTATATTTTTAAATTTTTAGTAAAAAATCCATTTTCACTAGCAATAGTATAAAAAGAATCAATAGAAACTCCAGTTCCTGTAAAAGAATATGCTTCTCTATAAAGTGTAGCTAACTCCAAATCTGTTATTTTAGGATAATTACTAATAAGAACAATCTTAAATTATTTAAAACTTATATTAGTTGCCCTACTACCAAATGCAATTTTAAACATTTTATATCTATTTCTTCTCTCTACTCTATAAAATTCTAACAAAATTCTTAAAACAAAAGCAGCTTCAATTATAAATACATTTTTATTCTATATTTTCCTTACTGCTCTTTCTTTTAGTACTCTTTTAACTTATTAAATTGTTGATACTTCATATTGAGAAAACAAATGAGTAACAATAAAATCAGCTTATAATAATGGAATATAATGATGAGGTTCATAAAAAGCTTAATGATTTTAACATTAAGGACCTCTAAATAAAAGATTTCTTGCATATAAAAAAAAGTAAATTTCATCATGAGATGAAAAATCATTCAAAAATTCTTAAAATGTTACGCATTCCCAATTCTTCTCTAATACAGGATTAGAAAAATCTACTATAAATTTAACTATTTAATCATCTACTCTTTAATTATCAAATTCTATCTTTTTTATACATTTATGATTGTAATCAATTTTAAAATTCATTAACCAAGAATAAACAAATTCTGGAAATCTTGACTATTATTAATTCATTTATATTTCATTCCATTTTGCATCTAAAATATGTCTCATTATCACTAATAATTATAAACTTGGCCTTTTATATTATAAACCTGCAAATTCACTTTCTAAGGTTTTTTTATGATGCTCAATAAAAATTACAAATGGTGAGAACCCAATAGTGAATTTATCTAATTAAATATCTTAAGAATTAAAATGAGATTCCATCTAAATTATACTATGTCCAGTTCTTGATACAATCCTTCCTTTATCTTAGAGTAATGATTAATGAGTCAATCTAAAGAAAGTCTTATCATTTGAGAATAAACTTGCAAATTTTTCCAATCCAGTTTTCTCTTTTTCATGTTATTAATTTGGTTAAGGTTCAACCTCTTTTGATTTTTCTATTTGAAATCTATCTAATTTATTTTATAATTAAGATAATTTTTCTCTTGCTTTAGCAGCAATTGCCAATTCTTCTTTGTAATAAAATAGTCTTTATTCAAAGTCTTCTCTTTACATATTTGCAATTTCTCTATATTTATTCATTAAATTAGTATGTTTTTCATTGTCTAAGATTAATTTATCTAATTAATATTTATTTGCTTCAAAAACAGTTTAATACGCTTTAGATTCATTTTCTAATTTTGTATATTATGATTTAATATTCTAATAATGCAAATTAAGTTTTTAAAGTTATTTTTCTTTAATTTCATTTTCTTTAAGTAATTCATTCATTTTAAGTTATGCATTTTATTTAATATTAACAACATCTAATTATAGTTTTTAAACATCAGATAATTTTTCAAGTGTTTACAATCTTTCTTGTATTTTTTCAATTTCATTTTTCAACCTGAAATTCTCCATATACAATTCACTTTATTTTTTGGAGTCGCCTTTCTTTGATTTAATAGGTCTATCTGTATGAGAAGATTTATTAAACATTGATTATAATTCTTCAAATTTCACAGTTAAGTCATTGATTTAGATTTCTTTTTCTTTGACTAACTGTTCAGCAAGTTCAGTTTTAGATTTATATTCTTCAATATTATTAATAACATTCTTCATAAATTTTTACATAATCTATTAATAACTATTATATTTATCAACTAAATGCTACAAATTTAATTTAGTATTCATTTAATATAATTCAGTTTCAAATTACTATTATATAATATCAAACAATTCTCTTTTTACATTAGTATTAGTTTTAGAAAAGACTTCATCTACTAATTGTTTCTTATTAGTTATATCATTAGAAAATGAATATTATCCATAGACTAATTCTTTTCTAAAGGTATCCAGTGAATTATAATTACTGACAAATCCAACATATTTAGGAGATTAAACTCCTTTTCTATTTTTAAAGTTGTTCAAATAAGGATGATTACTTTGTTGACTTTAAGCTAATCTTCTAGCATCAATTTATCTTTAGATTTCTCTTTTGGCTTATTATTTTAAGACAGTAGACATTTATGTATATAAAAATATATAAATAATTCATTCTTATTTTATATTTTGTTCTGACAAAAATGTGCTAATTCAAAAATTAATAATTAAGAGAGTACTAAAGCAATAAATTAGTTAATCATAGTAGCATATTCTTATTAAAATTATGGAATTTACTTTGAATAAATAAAGTTTTATAGGGAAATAATATTAATAGGTAGAATGAAATAACATTTATTAATATTGCATATTATATATTATATATGTTAATTCAGAATCTATTTAATATGAAAAATATATAAAATAAAGAATGGAGCATTTGTTGTATATAATTTAACATAAATAAAAAATGTTATAAATTGTGCCATCAAACTAAGTGGAAATCTTGAAGGCCAATCTTAAGAATAATCAACTTAAAATTTATGAAGCCATTGAACAAAATCAAATAGATTAAGCATTTCAAATTCTGTTTCAACAATAATCGTCATCTATTTGGATTAGCTCACTTTATCTCATTTTATAAAAATAAGACATAGAACAATATATTATTGATAAATTTGTTAAAGTAATTGAAGATCCATCTACTTTTTAAATCTCTGAAAATGAATAATAAGCATTCACATAAATCTGTTCACAAATTATCAATATTGATTTGATTGAACTCTTACATAAATATTCTCTAAATGGTTGGATTCAACTCTCATAGAAAATACATCTTTATTTGAGAAAATCTATACATCCAAAAGTGCCTTCTATCTTTATCAATTACTTTATTAATCAAAATATAGAATTGCTAGAACAATATGAAAAATCCTTTGATGAAGATTTCATATGGACTCTACATAATTTTTAATCATTCTATTAAATGATGCCAACACATATTGATCATCCTTATTATCAACTTATTTAAATATCTATTTATATAAGAATGTTAGATATTGAAAATATTCCTAATCCTATCTAATCTCATACTATTCCTATTCAATATTAATCAAAATTAGAAAATATACTTAAATAACTCATTCCAACTCCACATCAAAATTGTTTAGATCATTATGTATTTTGTCTTATTAATGTTGGTCTATTTGGAATTGTTATTCAGCATCTTCAAAATTAATTGACACTTTAATAAATTAACTAAATTAGAACTTCCTTTATTTCATTTGCAACTTAATCAAATTATATTGTAGATCTAAATGTCTATCAATTCTTAGAATCATAATCTAATTTTGATGAAGAATTTAAAAAACTTATTTATTTCAATAATCCTGCTATTTATGAAAATATGAGTACTTTTAATCAAATTTGGATTTTAAATGGACTTATTCAAAATTTTAATTACCTTCAAAGTCAATAAGTATTTATTACTTTTTACTAATTTAGAGAATAATCAAATAATTAGCTATTGATAATACTTAATTATCTTTAAGGGCTCTTTGGATATTACATTTAGATGGAGCCTAATCTGATATGAATTTAGACCACTAAAATATTTTTAAAAGAAAAAATTTCAAATTTCTTAACATTTTTCATCTTCTTAAATTCAAAGAAGACTTTGATTTTTAACATTTAATTGAAGCTTTAAAAGTTATTGCAATTTGTCTATGGACAGATAGAGAAATTAAATAAGAAGATTTTGATACCAAACTTTTTCTTATTTCTGTTAGAAAATGTATAACTGTTCAAAACTGTTCAAATATATTTTAATTACTATTTGGTATTTCTAGTGGAATATTTGATGTTGAATATGATGCTCATCAAATAAAAATACATATTCCATATTTCTTAGAATTATTAATTATCCTTTTATTTGAACAAAATATTGACATCAAATTAAAGAATTACTATTTAACATAATTCATTATTTTATCTAAAAATTTAGAAAATGTTTTAATAATTTTGAGAAGTTAAATTATAGAAAGATTAATCTTATTTTTAAGAATTGAAAATATATTCCAAGAAAAAATTATATAAATATTGATCAATTGTATTAAAGTTAGATTTTAACTATAATATTTATAGTCTATAGCCTTATTTATGTCTCCTTATTAATCTTTATTAATGGTTCCCTATTTTGATGAGTAATAAAAATATGAATCTTATTAAAAAATCTTTAAAATCTTAGGAATTCCAAAATAAGCAATAGAGAGTGGATCCTTAATTCAATAAGAATATTTTTATAATTAAATAAACAACAAATAATTGTTTATTAAAAATTCTCTCTTATTACTTTATTGTTTGAAAGAAATAATTTAGATTTAAAATGATTAGTACTATTATTTTACTGGTCATGAAAGTGGAATAGTAGTAAAAGGGAAAATTTAATTTGAAACATAAAACAATTCTTTTTCTATCATATTACAATTTAAAAATCAAGTACCATCTTCAACATTATTAAATTGGGGTAATTTGGATGTCAATTTTACAATTTCTATAGAGGATTCATAATTCTTAATAATCAAATTCAAATATTAATAAGTAACAAAAATTGCTGTATTTGTTTTAAGTTAATAAGAGAATTTTATAGTCATTAACTTTTTATCAATAAAATAATTTTTAGTTAATATTAATGGTGTTGACATTTTAGCCAAATAATCTGATTAATTTGATAATTTTATTTTGCCTGTCTTAAATTATATATGTGTTGGAGCCAACTTTTCACATTAAGAATTATTCTAAAATTCCTTTAGAGGAGAAATGAGAATGCTTTATATAATTGATTCAAATATAAATGCTGAAGATGTTTATATATTAGAAAAAAAATCTTAAAGTAATTCTCGCTTATTTTAATAGCTATTAAAAATGTAATTGTAAGGTACAATTCTGTTCTAATTAAGTACTCAATCTTAAAAGTAAGACCATTATTATGATGGTAATCTTCATTAAAGTAATTAAATAATATTGGAAAATTGTTAGTATTTAATGATACGAGGGAAAAGATAAAAGTAAAATACAATTTCTAAATTTATGGATAAATTCTTTTAATAAAGAAAAAGTTTAACAACTCTTGATGTCATTAATTAACCAAAAAATGTTAATTAAAATTCAAAAAATGTATTTTTTTTAGAGAATACAACTTTATTAGATGTCATGAAATCATATGGTAATTTAGATATTTTATTTTTCCCTTTACATTTTGTAAATGATTAATAATTTACTATTGCTATTTTATAACTCTTAAATACAATAATCCAAAAATTTGGAGATGATATTTCAATTTAAAATTATTTAAGATCTGATTCTGATTTTAAAGGAATCAAAGTACTTAGTTACCTTCTTACGGTATTTATGAAAAATCAAGGTTGCACAACATAATTATTATAGAATATATTAAACTTTTATCATTCCTTATTACATTGTTAAATTATACAAGCACTTAGAAATGATTGTATGAGTATTTATCACGAATTTGAATATTGGTAATATTGCCAATATAATGAATTACTTTTTTTATATGATAATTTATTTGAATAATTACAACATAATGAAGAATTATACATATATTACAAAGATAAAATCAATTATATATATTATATCCTGTAAGTTCAATTAATAAAATATGAACCTTAGAAGGGAGATTAATTAATTTATTAATAACTAAGAAAATTATTGATAAAATGTATTTTATTCATCATGTACAATACCTTCTTTTTAATTTAATATAACAATGAAGAAGTAGTTCCTGTACAAATGATCTTTAGAGATAAAAAAAATGAAAAATATTCAAGTGAAAAACTTTTAATATTCAGAAATGAAATCTTATTATTACTAAATTATATTTCATTAAAATCTGTCTCAGATTTAGCTGTCATTCTATGTTTTATGTTAAGAAAACCATAAAATTGTATAATTTAAGAATTATTATCTGAATTGAAATGTGGAAACTCTTCTATGTAAAAAGAATCTATTCTAGATACAGTGCAAAGAAATGAAAATGAAGAGACTCTACTTATGATAATTTAAAAAATTGTATATGGAATAATAATTGATATGATTGATTAGAAGAGTCTTTCTGATTCATTCTTAGCAGCATTAATGGAAATTCTAGTTAAAGTCTAAATTCAATAAATAAACTATGAACATAAATTACTAGAAATATAATAACCAAAAAATGTTCAATAACTTTAGAAATCAAAAGAATGTACTTTGATAAAATCTCTAATCAATAAAATTAAATATATTCTATATGAGTATACTAAACAACTCATTTGCAGTTAAAATACATATCAAGTGTTGATTAATGTATGATTTTATTTATTAATTAGATTAGTTATCTTAAATGATATTGAAAAAAGAGTTGGGATTGGAGTAAGAAATCTTAGATTTATTTTTAATTCACTTTAGAAAGTTTAATCTTTAAACAAAGGAATTAATTATAGATTTTCTTTTATAAACATCAACATATACTGTTTTTATGACGAAACTTTGTGATCATAAAGATTTAATATATTTCATAAGTGAATTAATTTCAATAGAAACAGGATAAACATTAATAAATTATATAGTATTGCATTATATAGATAACATATCATTTTCTGCTCGTAAAATAGTTAGAATATTTTAAAATATAGAAAAAAGTAACAATTAGTTTATGAAAGTTCTCTATAAAATTCTTTTACTATAAAATAGCAATTCAAATTTGAAATAGAATTAGAAAAGTTCATAAGCTATGATTGATTTATTTATGTTACTCCCTACTAGTTTTACATTAAATAGAGATTTGATTTTATGTGAACCAGAATTGTTTATAAAGGTTTTTGATTAATATTTAATATTCTTAGAAAAATAAGAGATTTTATATTCATATTATATGGATACTGAATTTGTTGGGTTTTATGAATATGATCCAATTTTATTTATTAATTAGCTATAAATAGATATATAAAAAAAGTATTTGTATGCTAATGGTGGTATAATTGGAACTGTGTTAACTATACTTTTTTATTCTTTAGAATTACTTATTGCTAAAAAGGAAGCAAAATCTTTGTTAATTATTTGGAAAAAGTTGATTACTCAAAAACAAAAATCTTAAATCCGTACAACTTAGTTATAACCTATAATAATGGATGAAGTAATACCAAATTTATAAACTAAAATATAAAAGATTAAAATAAAATAATAGAAGTCTTCAATATTAAAAAAGTTTAAATAAAATTTTTTTGGAGAATATTAATTAACTTAGTATGATAAATATTTTCAAGATATTCATTTAATACATGTATTAAAATTTTAATTGTTGTCAAATTAATATTCCCACTCAGAATAATTGTTTGAGATCTTTAGTGAATTATAATTCAAGCCAGATAATTTTATAAACTTTTAATCATTTTGGAATATAATTGAATAAAAACGAGTTGTTGGAAATTTAGATATTTTATTTTAAATAGAATAATCTAACTTAAAATAAGTGACTTCCGATATCTCAATAGAAGGAATCAAAAATAAAACATATCAAATAATAAATTAATTTAATTAATAGAATTAATAAATTTCATAAGCTATAAAAGATAATCAAAAATTAGGGAATGATGCAAAAAAGTTTATTGAACAAATTTAAAAAATTAATACAACATTAAAATATTTAGAATTATTTAAGGATTCCGACTTAATAAAAAGAGCAGTTTCGTATATGAGATTATATGCGTATAGATAATTGTAATTTTGTTAAGAAATGAGCACCCTTTTGAATTTGTATGCAATCTAAATTCAAAATTAAGATTAAATAGAGTTCTAAATACAGCCGATATAATAATCATATTAAAATTGTATTGAATTTTAGAAGATTTCATATAATTTATTTAATTAATACAGATAAGAATCAAAATAAACAATATTGAGATAAGAAAATGAACTACAAATTTAATAACTGATAATATAATTTAAGGTGAAATAGCATTATAAGTAAAATACTCACAAAAGAGGATTATGGTATTTTATGAACTATGGAGATGCTCATTTATATAAAAATTTAAATGAAGTGAATTATGACACATATTTAGAGTTATTAGGGAAAGAGAGATACTAAATAAATAGTTATGAGGATAGTTTAAGAAGAAGAATGTTTTTAAAAGTATTTGCAAAAGAGAAGAAATCATATGAACATGTTTAATTAATAAACAACATCTAAGTCGTATTTAATGATATGTTTAATATGTAATAACAAAATTAAACAAACACAAAAGGAATAGGAATAGGAAATGAGAGTTAGCGATATGAGGCAGAATTAATAACATAGAGAGGATTTTATCGTGGAAAGATTTGGATTACAAATGATTATTTAATGTTTGAGAATTTTGGTTTGGATATTTCTGAATAGGTAGTATAATATAAGTTTTAGAAAGATAGTTTATTGAGAGTAGAGAAATAGAAATTGATACCTTTATGTTAGATTAAGGAAGTATTTGCAAGAATGTATTTAGCATAAGGAACAGGGATTGAATTGTTTATAAGTAATAATAAGACATACTTTTTTAATTTGTTTAATAATAGATAAAGTGTAATAAAGATATTGAGTTAGAATGTAAATGTGATAATGAATCCAAGTGAATAATTTAAGAAGAGTGGATTGATGGAGAAATGGAGAAGAGGAGAGATTACGAATTTTTAATATTTAATGGAGATAAATAAATATAGTGGTAGAACTTATAATGATTTGAATTAATATCCTATTTTTCCATGGGTGATAGCCAATTATGTAGATTTCGATAGAGAAAATAAGGAACATTATAGAAGATTAGATTAACCAATGGGAGCATTGAATTAAAAAAGATTAGAGAACTTTTTAGAAAGATTTAAAGAAGCAGATTAGGAAGATATTAATATGTATTTTATATATGGAACACATTATTCGCATAGTGCTATAGTGATGAGTTTTTTAATGAGAATGGAACCATTTGCATCTCTACATTAAGAGATGTAATCAGGTAAATTTGATAAAGCAGATAGATTATTTCATAGTTTAGAATAATAATGGTATTCAGTAATGAATTCAAGTAGTGATGTAAAAGAATTGATTCCAGAATTCTTCTATTTTAGTGAATTCCTAAAAAATAAGAATAAATTTGATTTAGGTCAATTATAATCAGGAACAAGAGTAGAAGATGTTACATTACCAAATTATATAAATACAGGAAGTGCAGAGGAGTTCATATTTTCAAATAGATAAGCATTGGAAAGTGAATATGTTAGTATAAATTTGAATAATTGGATTGATTTAATATTTGGATATAAGAGTGGACCTAATAGTTAGAAATACAATAATTTATTTCATCGTCTCACATATAGTAGTTGTGTTTAATAGTTATTAGAGAAGACGGATGATGAAATCAAGAAAGAGTAATATATAACATAGGTTTATTATTATGGATAAACACCACAATAATTATTTAAGAAGGAACATCCATAAAAATCAATACCAAAGATATTTGAATCAGGATCAATTATACAATTTAAATATATCACTGTATTGATCAATAAAATGAATAATGTGATAGATTAATTTTTTTATAATGAGAAATACTTTGTACTTCTGACAAATGAATAAGAAATTATAGTATATAATGTTGAACATAGAATTACCAGTCATAAAATACCTAAAGATTTTAGTAACTAAGAAACTAAAATTATGTAATTTAATTCTAATAATGTTTTCCTCTTGTTTGATGATTCCTTAGTTGTGGCAGGCTATGTAGATAATTCTGTCAAAGTATTTTCATTAAAAGATCTTAAATAAACATGTTAAGTTTCTTTTCATAATAAAGTTGTAACTTGTTTAGGTTAAAGTTCTAATCATTTATTATGTGGGAGTATGGATACAACTATTTCTGTTTGGGAATGGACTTTATAACATTAACCTTAATTTATTTTATATGGACATCAAAATCAAGTCTCCATCATTCAGGTTGATCCAATATTACAAATCATCTTAAGTTATGATATTAAAGGAGATATTCTAATCCATACTATCAAAGGCATATTCCTTAAACTTATTGAAACCTCTATCTAAGATTGCTCTTTTATTAAATTACATCCCTCAGGATTCATACTTGTATCTTTCCTTCATTAACTCAGTATTTATACACTCTAAGGAGAATTGTACATTTACAGAGAATTATAAGATCAAATTATTAATATTAATGTCATTAATGAATATTCACCTGAAATTGTATTATACTATTTTATCTTTTTAGTTAATTACTACTCTAGATGGAAACATATTTCTTACATCCATTGTTTCACTTAAATCATCACATGATTTTATCAAATATTGTATTAAGAAATACAAATTAGAAGAAATGGAAATTAAATTAGAAACTAATTAAATTAAAAAAGTTAAAGAAATTGTCGGAAAGTCTCCAGAATTCTTAAATGCATACATTGCTTATTCACAATATTATTAATGTATCTATTTTTTTATTCATTTATTTAGTATAGGCATATCGAGTATTACTTATTGGTTTTTAGAATGGATAGGTCATCTCATTATATGAATAACCTAAATAAACTAGCCTATTATGATCATATTAAAAATGTTATTTATTTATTATATCACATTTTTACTTTCGATTTTAAATGTTATGTTATCTTCTCAACAAACTATTCATCTTCAGCAGATAATTGTTCTTTCTTTAATTCTTAAAATGGTAATTGCTCACTTACTTCAAATTGAGCCAATTAATTTAAAAAATTTTATTTTGCTAAAGGATTAGCTAATTATTCAACAATCTCAGATTTCTTTTCTCTTAAAAAGTCTTTAACTTACATCATCACAAGTTGTTTTGAATACTAATCTAATTTCTATTAAGTCTCAGTTAAAGTTTAACCATTATGAGAAATCTCAGACGATTATTGATTTATTCGAATCATTGGATTTATGAATTATAAATTTTCTATAGCATAATCACTATTTCTAATTGAATTTATAATAAAAATATTATATTACTTAGTTTTATCTATTAAGGCTATTACAGTAGTGTTTAATAGTTTTACTTTTCTATCCCTTGTTGATTTTTTCCCTATCCGACCCTCTTTTAAATAAACTTATAATATAGCTTTGACTGTTGATGGTTTCAATTAAGTTTCTTCTGATACCTATTATAATAAAATACTATATTTTCTATACTTCTTTTAAAGTCTTACCATTTATTGTCAACTCATTAATTATATGAGTTCTTTGATCTTGACTAATTTTCTTATACCTAATTATTATTTCATCATTATTTTACTTCATGTTACGAGATCCCTTTCTTATTTTCTAGCTACTATTCATTATTATTATTCAATTATTATATTATATCTACTATTCATTATTAATAATCAATTATTATATTATATATATGTACACCAATTTCTAATCCACCCATTTCTAAGCATAATCCAGTTTAATTTAATCAATCAAAGAACTCCATTTTCATAAATGACATGGTTCCTCAAGGAAAAGATAAATTATCAAAACAACTCAAAAATTTATACCTGATTTCCCAATTACTAAAATAATCATTGAATTCAAAGTATTCTTACAAAAGAAATAAGAAATTTATAAGAAATACTTTCTATCCATTTATATTTTGTAAAATAGGATATATGAAAAATATGAATTAATTAAGTTAGCATTAAAATTTATTAATTCATAATATTCCTTATTAAATAAAAAGCAATACATTTAATTATCAAAACATTACTCAATAACATATCTAAAATTCTAGAATTACAAATTACTCAAGATTGGGAATTACAAATCAAATTATAAAAGAATTTTACGATTTATTTCTTTTAATAAGTAATGATACCAAATAAAAATCCAATTAACCCGTCTTATAAATTTAATCACCAAAATAAAAAAAACTATTGTAAATTCAATCTACTGTTTTACTTCAAGAAATCAATGAAAAATCATAATTTGTTAAAATACCATAAACTTATAATTAATTATCCAAATTTGAAATAAACAACTAAAAGAGATAATCTATAGAAAGATACATTTCAAAAATATATTTCAAATCCCTCATCTAATTTGTTATGACCAATATTTAATTAATGAATATAACTTTATTAAATTGGAGATTATTAAAATCAAAAAATATACATACATTTACTTCAAGTTCATATAATATGAAAAACTAAATACTCTAATAATGTGAATTACAATATTCTAATTTATTAAAATCATCTTGGATGGCTTACCAGCTGATTGTGGATTGGTTGATTTCTGAAAGATTCAAAAAAGGATAGAAAGTTGTTATATAATTGATTTTTGATGAATATTTCATTAATTATCTCATTAGATTTTCTATAAAATTTTTATTTAATTTTAAAAAATAAGGATTTTAAGACCCTAGTTTGTGAAAGGACTTGAATTTTATAAATTAGAAAAAATCAAGGTATCTATCGGTAATTACTTGAATTTACTTTATGAGCAGCAGCAGGAGCTACAGGATTATTTTATATTTAACTTGCTTTAAATATGCATTGTGATTTTANTACAAAAGAAATAAGAAATTTATAAGAAATACTTTCTATCCATTTATATTTTGTAAAATAGGATATATGAAAAATATGAATTAATTAAGTTAGCATTAAAATTTATTAATTCATAATATTCCTTATTAAATAAAAAGCAATACATTTAATTATCAAAACATTACTCAATAACATATCTAAAATTCTAGAATTACAAATTACTCAAGATTGGGAATTACAAATCAAATTATAAAAGAATTTTACGATTTATTTCTTTTAATAAGTAATGATACCAAATAAAAATCCAATTAACCCGTCTTATAAATTTAATCACCAAAATAAAAAAAACTATTGTAAATTCAATCTACTGTTTTACTTCAAGAAATCAATGAAAAATCATAATTTGTTAAAATACCATAAACTTATAATTAATTATCCAAATTTGAAATAAACAACTAAAAGAGATAATCTATAGAAAGATACATTTCAAAAATATATTTCAAATCCCTCATCTAATTTGTTATGACCAATATTTAATTAATGAATATAACTTTATTAAATTGGAGATTATTAAAATCAAAAAATATACATACATTTACTTCAAGTTCATATAATATGAAAAACTAAATACTCTAATAATGTGAATTACAATATTCTAATTTATTAAAATCATCTTGGATGGCTTACCAGCTGATTGTGGATTGGTTGATTTCTGAAAGATTCAAAAAAGGATAGAAAGTTGTTATATAATTGATTTTTGATGAATATTTCATTAATTATCTCATTAGATTTTCTATAAAATTTTTATTTAATTTTAAAAAATAAGGATTTTAAGACCCTAGTTTGTGAAAGGACTTGAATTTTATAAATTAGAAAAAATCAAGGTATCTATCGGTAATTACTTGAATTTACTTTATGAGCAGCAGCAGGAGCTACAGGATTATTTTATATTTAACTTGCTTTAAATATGCATTGTGATTTTATAGGAGATAAAGAAAAAATTATATTTTTATAAAAATAATTTCCTGGTTTATAGTAATTTAATAAAATTAAATTATATTTTTATAAAAATAATTTCTTAGTTTTTAGTAATTTAATAAAATTAAAATATAAGAATAATAAATTATAAAGTGGATGATTAGGATAAATAAATTGAAAATTATAGTTTAGATTATTATTTTGATAATGTTGGTGAGTATATGTTTGAAAAAATGATAGAAAAAATAAAGAAGAATAGAAAGATTGCGTTATGTAGTCAATGGGAAGTGTTCAAATTATAATGAAAGATAAGGATTAAATAATATGAATAGGATTATTTATAAAAGATTGAAATTAAAGGGTATCACTTTTAATTAAGAATAGAATAAGTAAAATTTATAATATATAAGAATCCAAGCTGCATTTGATTATTTATTTTAATAATTCTAGTAAAAAAAGCTAAAAATCTTTTAGGAAGAATACAATTAATTGATTGCTACTCCATAAGCCCTTAAAAATCTATTCAAAGGAGAGAATATAGGGAAAAAAAAATTTTAATTTAGATAATTAATCTAAATGAGGATTATTATTTTTATGATTTTAAGTTTTATATAATAATGTCTAGTATATAGAAGAAAATATAAATTTAATCAATTTTTTTTCTGATTTTTTTAATACATAATGATCAAGTTTTATAAGTTCTTCAAAACTTTATTAAATATTTTTAAAAAAAGATGAATAATAAAACTGAATTTTCTAGAGCAAATACAATGAAATAATTGAGTATTAACAATTAATAAAGTCCTAAATTAATTATATCTTAAAACACTTCAATAGGTTTTATGAATGAATAGAGTAATTTTATATCAAGATCACTTGTGTACAGTTCAAATAGGCCAGATTATTCATTTGACAAAATAATTGAATTAAGTATTTTAGAATAGAATATGTAAATACTACATTAACAGTTAGAAAAAACTTACCATTAAATGCAAATAACTAAGAATAACCAACAAGAGTATTCTGCCAAAAATGTTAAAAATCAGTCATTACCAAAGTTGAAAAACAATATGGTTGGGGAGCATTAGTTGTTACCTTCTTGATATTATTGATATTCTGGCCATTATTTTGGATTCCTTGTTTTGCAACAGAATGCAGAGACATTATACATTATTGTCCATCTTGTGATGAAGTTATAGGATAAAAACTTTATAAGCTTTGCAAATGATCAATATAGTTTTATAGTTTTATATTTGCTTACTATCAATTTCTTGATCTTATTTATCATTCTTAACTTAGAATATCGACACAATTATTTAATGTATCTAAATTAATTTTTGAACTGTATATATAATCAATATATTCTAAATTTAGCATTAATTTCTAATAAAATTTAGATTAAAAATATTAAACATACATTGCTTTCTTGATTGAGTTTAAATCTATTTAAAACTGTATATATAAATAATTCTAGCTTCATTGATTTGATTTTAAATCTGCTTAGAATAATTTAATTTAATATTTATTCTTAATTCACTTAAAATGAGCTTATTTAATGAATTCGATGAATCTTTATAGGAACCAAAAATATTAATTAAATGAATATTCATATGATTTTTAATTCATCAATAATTCATTTTAACAAACTCATTATAATTATAATAATAAGGAATATTGATTAGTAAAGTTATGAAAATATATGTGATTTTCTAGCTGATATTGTATGCCTAAATTGTTGAAAGAATATTTTAGACCAATTTCAAATATTAAATAGGGATTCATTCTTGGATCTTATAATTATTATAAGTTATATTATTCTGTTTTATTGCCTTTTAATTTTTTAGAATGCCTAAACAAAAACAAAAAGCACAATATCCATGTTGTAATAAGAAAGTGGGTAATAAATAATTTAAAATTGTTTGAAATGCTAAGCATTATTTAAAATCATAATTTCTTTCGAATTGCTAATATGAGACTTACAATTCCTATTAATCATTAAGAGTAAATAATGTTTTTACTTAGTATTGTTGATATCTCATAATCAAATTAGTAATATTATCTAAAAGTATCAATTTTAATATGCGATGAATTATTGATTTAGGGCTTAGAATTTAAGGATACTTAAAAATTTATTCCTATGATTTATATATTTAAAGATGGTATGGATTGTTGTTCATACTGTAACATTGCATTCAAAGATTTCATATACATTAAGCCTCTATTTAAATATTAAATATCTTCAAATTAATTTAAATTTAATAGGGAAACTCATATTTGGAAAAAAAAATAATAAATATTAAAATAATTAAGATAACATGTTTTATAATAATTCCTCAAATAATTGACAAAATATTCTCATTTTAATTGATATTCTTCACAATCTCTACAATCTAACCAACCAATAAGACTTTTCTTCATTATTTGAGCATTATCAATTTCAACTAAGATCTTCTCTTCTAAATTATCAATATTTGGAAATTATTATTTAACATCTAGATAACTTAAGATTCTATTTCTAATTTAAATGCATTTAGCTTGATCTTTGTAATTAATTATTACTTCTCCTTTTATTTCTTTTATTTTAACTGTTCTAATAATTACATAAGTGAGAGGTTGATTAACTTCTGGAATTTTAATTTCTTAATTTATTTATGTTTATTCCTCTTATTTTATTTCTACATTAGGTTCATGTTTTTTGATTAATTTTTTTTTTGATTATTTTGGTTTTTAACATATTATTTTCTTTTCTTTAATAATTTATACTTTTTATTCTGTTTTTTATGATTATTAGTTTTGATTTTAGGTTAATGAATTTATCTTCTGTTGTTTTTTAATAGGAATAAACTTTCTCATTTCACATATTATTGGTTAAGGTACAAATAGTTTTGGTTAAAGAGAAGTAAGTATTTCAGTACCTAAGACCTCGAAATTTTGTGTTTTTTTCTAGATATTATTGATCATATGTTTAATGGTTATAATTTTGATATAATTTATATCAAGAAGAATATATTAATAAAAATAATAAAGAAATAGCATCAATTATAAATATTTGTTAGTAATAATTTTTCTTTTATTCATATTCGAATTGATTTTAATAAAAAATTAATTAAAATGGCATAAGTTAATAAAAGGAAGTAATCTAAATCTTTAGATGATAGTGAAGTAGCAATAATCAAATTAAGTTATAGTATAGAGTGAAGCAGTGTAAGGTAGGTGGATAAAGGAAGAACATTAAAGATTTGTAGAAGCATTGAGTATACATGGGAAGAATTGGAAAAAAGTAGAAGAATATGTTGGTACAAGAAGTGGAGCATAAATTAGGTAATATTGAAATCGATTATTTACATAGGTCTCATGCTCAGAAATTTTTCAATAGACTTGAGAAAGAATTTAATAAATAATTTAATGGGCTTAAGAGTTCAGAAATTAAGTAAATTTTTGAGAATAAAATGTTTCATTAATATTCTGAAGGAGAATCAATTTAAAAAAAATAGAAAAACAACTCTATAATGGGTATGACCTCATATCTTTTATAATTTTATTTTTAGATGTTTCTGAAGATGAATTAGCGTTAAATGTCGAATCTATGTAAGTTGAATCTAATCAATAATCATAATAAATTAAAACTCAAATACAATAAGGTACTTTAGACCTAAATTTACCTGACTCCCAAATTCATAATACTACTAAAGAATAAGTTACTAAATATTAATAAAAATAAAACAAAATTCAAAAAAAACTCTAAGATGTCTCAGATTTAAATCAACTTTCTGATGAACTTCTTAAAGATATTTGTAAATTACATAATGAAAAAAGTCAGNACATTAGGTTCATGTTTTTTGATTAATTTTTTTTTTGATTATTTTGGTTTTTAACATATTATTTTCTTTTCTTTAATAATTTATACTTTTTATTCTGTTTTTTATGATTATTAGTTTTGATTTTAGGTTAATGAATTTATCTTCTGTTGTTTTTTAATAGGAATAAACTTTCTCATTTCACATATTATTGGTTAAGGTACAAATAGTTTTGGTTAAAGAGAAGTAAGTATTTCAGTACCTAAGACCTCGAAATTTTGTGTTTTTTTCTAGATATTATTGATCATATGTTTAATGGTTATAATTTTGATATAATTTATATCAAGAAGAATATATTAATAAAAATAATAAAGAAATAGCATCAATTATAAATATTTGTTAGTAATAATTTTTCTTTTATTCATATTCGAATTGATTTTAATAAAAAATTAATTAAAATGGCATAAGTTAATAAAAGGAAGTAATCTAAATCTTTAGATGATAGTGAAGTAGCAATAATCAAATTAAGTTATAGTATAGAGTGAAGCAGTGTAAGGTAGGTGGATAAAGGAAGAACATTAAAGATTTGTAGAAGCATTGAGTATACATGGGAAGAATTGGAAAAAAGTAGAAGAATATGTTGGTACAAGAAGTGGAGCATAAATTAGGTAATATTGAAATCGATTATTTACATAGGTCTCATGCTCAGAAATTTTTCAATAGACTTGAGAAAGAATTTAATAAATAATTTAATGGGCTTAAGAGTTCAGAAATTAAGTAAATTTTTGAGAATAAAATGTTTCATTAATATTCTGAAGGAGAATCAATTTAAAAAAAATAGAAAAACAACTCTATAATGGGTATGACCTCATATCTTTTATAATTTTATTTTTAGATGTTTCTGAAGATGAATTAGCGTTAAATGTCGAATCTATGTAAGTTGAATCTAATCAATAATCATAATAAATTAAAACTCAAATACAATAAGGTACTTTAGACCTAAATTTACCTGACTCCCAAATTCATAATACTACTAAAGAATAAGTTACTAAATATTAATAAAAATAAAACAAAATTCAAAAAAAACTCTAAGATGTCTCAGATTTAAATCAACTTTCTGATGAACTTCTTAAAGATATTTGTAAATTACATAATGAAAAAAGTCAGATTATGGCTATTTAATAAATTCAAAATGCTTATCAATCAATTGCAGAAGTTGATTAAAACGATGAATAATAAATTCAATAATAATCAATATAAATAGAGTAGAAAAAACCTGTTAATTAAGAATAAGAAAAAAATGAAGATTCAAGACCAGGGAATGATGAGTCTTTTTTTCATTTTATTATGTATTTAAATCTTATTTAATGTAGGGCAAAGATATCAAAGTATTTGAATAATAGAAAATTAAGTTTATCTGACTTAATCAACGTACCTTAATAGGAAAAAGAAATCATTTAAATTTCTCATCCATTAAAATGTGATTTATAACAAGAGGCAGAAGGACAAAGAAGTAGAAAATAATCTTTTACTTTTTATAACGATTAAGATGAAGAAAATGAAGCTCGTTATTAGAATCTTAAGAAAACAAAAAAGGATTGAGACACAACTATATTATATAGTTTATTTTATATTTTTATTTAACAGAATCTCTTAAATGTATAAATATTATACTCTACAATAATTTAGCCCTTACTATATTACTAAACAGAATGAAACTAAATTAATTTTACTATATATCACAATTTCACAAAGATCGTTATAAATTTATAAATGAATCTCAAATATATAAATCAATTCAAACTTCATCTTTAAATCAAATTAATATGAATTATATATGATGATGATAGTAAAGGACTTATCAAAAGTTAGTTACAAGCAAAAAATTTTCAATTTGCATTTTAAACAAAGATTAGACAATTTGAAAATAGGAATATAAGAACTTAAACATTAAGGAATAGAATAATTGGCATAATTAAATATATATATATTAAATTCTAGATTAATTTGATAAGATAGAATCTTAAAAAATATCAGAATAAAACAAGTCAAACTCAAAAATTTACAAAATTGATGAAATAATCCAAAATAAATTTCTTATGGAAATTCATAAAAATTAATAAATCTTTAAATTTAAATTATAGAATCGTGTGATAATTCATTAAATTTATTATTGAGAAAGCCCTAGATCATTTCTAAACTTATTTATTCTATCTAATTTTTATAAAAGGAATAAGATTTTGTTGATGAAAGAGATAAGAGCTCCTAGATATCTGATCTCATCAAAATGATGTTGATTAATCAATATTCTAAGAGATTATATTGAAATATAAGTAAAAGAGAAAATTCTACATTTTTTAAAACTTCTTACAAATTAGAATAAAAAGAAATCTTTTTTTTAACTTAAAAAAACAAATTAATAATGTAAAAATAATTATTAAATAAAATTTTGAAGATCTAAAATCTTTTGCTCTTCCTAATGAGCAATAAAAAGTATATTTTTTTTTATCTGATATAACTTAAGCAATAAAACTTAAACTATGAAATAATCTTTATAAATTTTATTAATGACAGTTTCAAAAGATTTCTCAGAATATTAAAAAATAAACTACATTATGAAATTAGGTCTCGACTCATTAAAGTTAATAAAAAAACAGAAAAATGTGTCGGCAGAATTTTAAACTATTTTCATATTTTAAGAGTTTCAAACTTTTTTAAGGTAATTTAATAGATTTATATAAATAATTGATCTAATCATTAGTCAAATAATTATTATGAAAAAATTAAATAAAAATAAGTTTCAATTTTTAGATAATAAGTAATTTGTTTATTATTCATATATATTAAATATGTTATTTTAGTAAGTTCAGATTATCTATCATTCATGGTAATTGAAAATAGATTCATAGACTCTAATTATGTATTTTGAAGAAATAATCTCATAGATATGAACCAGATTATTTATTTATTTATAATTTTAATATATCACAAGATCTTTCCAATATGGATTTTATATCCAAATTTATTTAATTCTCTGTTAATGATTTTAGCTGCATATGGTAATCTATAAAAAGGAATTTGAGGGAATAAATGATGTTCAGTTTAAAATTGCATGCCACCCATTAATAAATTGGATAACCAATCTAGATAAATGAATAAAAAATACCAGTCCAGTCATAATTTCTAGAGGTGATGATTTAATGCTCTATAAAAGGTTTATCAATTTTATTGAAAAATTTGTATTCTCTTTCATGATTACCAATAAGAATACAGGCACTAAAGAATCCTGCAATATACTGAGCAATAAAATAGATCCATATTTTTTATTAGAATACAATTAATTGGTGAAGTAACACGTAGAGAATATCTATTTTGTTATAGGATGTAATGATTGAATCGAATTTCCATCTTTTAAATATATATTAAAACTTACTTTAAATAGAGGAATCCATATTACCACATTTAATATTGATGATTAATATCGTCATCTTTACCAATACGATTTGTAAAAATGTGATGATTATTATGTTTAAATTACCACCAATCTGTAGAGAACCCATGAATGATACCATAAGGTATAGACAACTTATACAATAATGGATTTCGATTATGATTAGTTGAATGACCTTGCCATCTAAATTTTATATATTATTATCAAAATACCCAGCCACTATTTATGTTAATGCAATTGTTGGAATTGCAATGTACCAATCACTTGTCACACCTAAATATAAGCCAAGACTCAATCCAATCAATAGTAGGATTTCAATTGTCCAATCAGGTTAAAAGAGGTCTTTCACTTGCTTTTTGATGTGAGAATATCGTTTACTGTCTTCTGATTCTTTTAAATCATTACGAATAACTTTTTAGGATTTTAATATTCTCAATGCTTTCTTTGAATGTAAACATCTAAATATATCTATTTTATACCTAAAATATTCTGTGATGTCTTATTTCTCATCCTTCATTTTTTCAAAGAAACTTTTACCTGCAGGATGCTTAGGAACATATTCTGTTAAATCATATTCTTTATTTTTGTAAATGAATCTGAAAACCTTAAATTACTAAATCTACTTACTTCTCCATTCTCAGGTGTTTAAACTACATTATTGTTTGGTTCTGGTTATGGTGACATCTGATATTCTAATAAATTAATAATATCTTTATTAAAATTTATTTAATTTTCCACTATTAAATTAGTATAAATATTATGAATAAGAATAAAAGAAACGAATAATTTATAAGAGAAAATAATATTGCACAATATGCTGAAAGAATTTTAGAAGAAACAACTTTTTAAAAAGTTTAAAGTAATTTAAACTATATTTTAGGGATTAAAATTACATATAATGGTTAAACAAATATATGGGGATCAGAATAAAAAGTTAAAATTTAAGAATATTCATAAAAAGAATAAATTAGTTATTAATCAGCAATTAGTTGTGTTCTCAAATATATAAATATAGATTATAAAATATTCACTGCTTGAATAAAATGAAGTTACTAATTAAGGAGTTTTAAAATAAATTGTATGATTGCCATTTACTATAAATTCTTTATTATTATTTATCAAGAATAAAGTACAAAATCAAATAACATGAATGTGATTAATTGATAATAGAAATCTTTGATCTTCATGCCCAATTAAACATAAGGAGTTGATAAATTAAGAATTCAATTGAATATTAAAATAAAACTTTAAACTGATGACACCTTCTAGTTTAACAATGTATTAAAAAAATTAAAAAAATAATCAATGATTTAAATGACCCTAAAGAAGTATCATCCATAGATATTGGATAATAAAACATCTAATAATAAATTTAAGCATATGAATATGAAATTATACGTGATTTTAATTAGTTTTTGGTAATTATGAGCAACAATAATTGAGTAATAGAGAGTTCTAAAAGAGTAAATATAATAGTATGTAATAAATTGTTTGGAAATTTTGGTTGATTAATTTAAATATAATGGGCTAAAACAAATATTCACACATTCATTCAAAGTTTGAATTTCAAAATGATTGATTAATCAAATTAAAAATGGATAGAATTTTGAGGAATAATTTAAGTATCATAAATAAAATTTAGATACAAAAATTCTATACTAAATAATGAAAGGGAAAATGTTTAATAATAATGTAGGATTATTTGAAACCTATTTATGATTACATTGATAGTAGTAGGGCAATCATAAACACAGGAGATGGTTTAAATTTATGGGTTTTTAAATAAATAGGATTATGATTATAAGTGAGATTAATAATATTCTAAAGTTTGCTTAGAAATAAAAATAAATTTCAGTCGGGAAATGTTATATCATTATAATCATGTCGAAGCGTTTAAAGTCATCATAATTATTGTTTTTTGATTGATTATAAATAATTATTGACCAAGAATATACATCCAATAATATGGGTTTCATTCTAATTAATTTATGCTTTATAATAGTTTTTTTAAGACAAAGAATTAGAGTCCATATTCTGGAAAACCAAAGCAACAATTACGTTAGAGTTCTTTTGAGAAACCTAAAAAAGAAAGATTACGATTACAGTTATCTAGCAAAATAGATAAATTTGAAAAAGAAGCAATTTTAAGTGTTGTTAATTCCAAAAAGAAATCAATAAGCAAACGATTTGTAATACTTTTGATTAAATTAGAAAACAGAATAAGGAATTGAGATAGTTGATGATTCCTTAAATTTAGATTCATGCATTCCAAATTCACAATCTAAATCACGATCCTTTAGCAATGCATTTCCTTCGAATAAGCATGCTGATAAAAAAAACAACATTTTGAATAGTACTAGTAAAAGGCAAAAAAGTATAAATTAAAAGCAGACCCTTGAAGATGATGAAAATCCAGATAATTTTCCATAATAATTTCAAAAGATTAAGCTTCTTGGAAAGGGTGGGTTTTCTTTGGTTTGGTTAGCTGAACATAAAACAACAAAAGTGAGAGTTGCAATAAAATAAATAAAATAGTCTAACTCTAATCAAGCCTATTTACGTGAAATTTGGTTTGGATCTCATTTTTTTGACAACGGAAATCCTAAACCTTAATTCAAATCATTTTAAGGAATAAAAAGTTTATTACAATATTTGGGATATGAAATTGGATGTAAAGATACATGGATTTTCACAGAAGTATGTGGAGAAAGTTTAAAAAATACTCTTTATGATCTAAAAGGATAATCTATAAAGAATGAAATTGTATTTAAAGTAATTAATAATGTCAATATTCAAGATGATCTAAAAACCATTATATTTAAATTTAAAATCGGATCTTAGAATTCTAAAAAAGATTATTAAAGATATAGCTTATGCCTTAATTTTATTGAGTGAATAGCGTATTGTTCATTGTGATCTTAAAACTGAAAATATACTCATTAAAAAATCTAAATGTCTAAATGGATCTTATATAATTACTGAAACTAAGTTAATTGATTATGGAAGTAGTTTTCTATTTGATGATCTCACATAATTTTCTATGGCAACTCCTGAATATATGTGTCCTGAAATTTTAAATTATATTCAATATGAAAATGGAAAGAACTATGATTCTAAATTATTTAAAGTCTTATCAAATTACTATAAACCATGGGTTATAGATATTTGGTCATTGGGATGTGTAATTTTAGAAATTATTTATGGAATCCCTCTTTGGTTGAACAATAAAATTATTGTGAAATATCATGACAAGGAAGTAATTGAGCAAGGTTTATTTGCTGTTAAAAATAGAGCATTTGAACAAATTATATAAAAGCAAGCTCATGTTGTGAAGAATTTAGATTATTATTTAGATAACAACTATTCTGGTATTTTTAAGATTACAATTTTAGGAATTAAAGTTGATTTAGAAATTAGACTTTTGCTAAGAGAAATGCTTACCATTGATCCAGATAAAAGGATAGCTCCTCATACCATTATTGAATTTCTTTAACCTACTAAAGAAAGAATGAAAACTGAATGAATTATGTTTATTCAATTTATACACTTTAAATTAGAACTGACTTTTTTCTAAAAAAATTAGAATTTATTTATTAATCAATAATATTTGTTATTTTTTGCCATAAATCAGACCTATTATCAACTAATAATATCCATTATGAAATCATGTCGCCTTAATTATTAACATATTTCAAATTACATTTAAGAATATTAATCAAGAAAGAATTTTAAAAAAAACATTATTAAAGTTCTAATTAAATAAATTAAGAAAATTGATTGTCTTAATAATTTTAATGATTAAGTTATATGATTAAGTATAGATTAAGAAAATATATTAAAAATGAATGAAGTTATTTAGAGAATTTAAAAGAAGAAGAATTTTAAAATTTTCAATTTTGGGTATTTAACAAATCCTAATTTTTTAAATATTAGAATCACATTCTCAGAAATAATAAATATTATTTCCTAAAGTTTTCGAGACTTTACAAGGAGAACAAAGATTGATTTTGATTATATAATAAATTTATTTTCAAAAGAAATATTAATGAAAAAGCAATCAGTATCCACAACTGCAACGCTTCCAATACCTTTTTTTAAAGTGTATTTCAAAATTCACTATCACACTCAACCAGGAAAAGCAATTTACATAGTAGGAGATTGCAATATGCTTGGGAATTGGGAGTCTACAAAAGGATTACGTCTTTAATGGAATGAAGTATTATATGAATGATAATTTGTGAAAGAATGATGAATGGACAATTTGCATAAAAATAGATAGATCGAAATATTCTAAGATCGAGTACAAATTCATAGTTAATAATTATGATTATACTACTTTGGATGATACAATATGGGAACCTGGAGAAAATAGAGTTATCACTAATCATATGATTTTGAATGAAACAAAGTCTGAATATTTTAATTGTATTTACTATAATTAATTATTAAAGGTGAATATTGGGGGTATCGAACAATTAAATTGAAATTAAATTACAATTTACCTGAAAAACAAAGAATGATGGTTATTGGTAGTATAGAGCAATTGGGTTAATGGATTCATCCCGTACTTATGAAATAATAATCTAAAGTTGACATATGTAATTTTTGATTCAGTAAAATTAGTAAATGGCGAACCTGTGTAACAATGGTCTATTTCTTTTATTGTAGATTCAATGAATTTTTCATTTAGATATTTTTATGTAATAAGAAATGATGAAACAGGTTCTATGATATGGGAAAGAGGTAATGGAAGATATTTAAAATCAAGTGATCTCAGATCTTTTCGATAAGTTTAAGATCAATATGCTAAATCTCCTATTAAAATTAAAACTTAACTGCTAACTGCATGCTAAAATTATAGATTCCTTAAAAAAAAAAATGGATCGTTTTGTTCAGAAAAATAATAAAAATTTAAAAAAGAAACAAGTATGGGTTATTCATTTTCAGATAAAGAACCATCTTTTTTTTATTATGAATCTTTTGGTAGATTAAATAAATTAGATTGGAATTTCGTTGTTTAATTTTCTATAACACAAATTAATGAAAATATTATTATTGGTCCTTATCCATAAAATGAATAAGATATACTCATCTTAAGAAATTATGGAATAAAAGCTGTTCTTAATTTATAAACAAGATTGGATGTATATCATAGAGGAGTGGATTGGGATGAAATTTTATCAAGTTATAGAAAACATAATATTTTTATGAAGAATTTTGAAATTTTTGATATGGATCCTCAAGATTTTGAAAAAAAAATATCAAAAGCTGTTTAAATTCTTAAAAAATTAATTAACCATCATGAATTAGTATATATTCATTGCACTTCAGGAATTGGAAGAGCACCTTCACTTGTAGTTATTTATTTATCATCTGTATTGTAATTTCCATTAAATGAAGCAATAACATTCGTTAAAAACAAGAGAGAGCAATTTTATATTAATTTTAGTATTTTATTTCTATAGATTAATAGATATGTTGAAAAGATCTCTTTAAAAAACTATGATTTATAACAATGGTTTAGGTTATGAAGAGATCCAAGAAGTTAAAGAATTTCAAATATAAAGCTCTGGAAAAATTTATAAATAATAATTTGATTATAAAATATTATATTGAGTTGGAACAAAATTGTGTTTAAAATATCAATATAAGTTTATCCTTACTTAACACTTTTTACTCTTCTACTAAACTACTTTTCTTAAATTCGGATTATTTAAAAAAAAAATTAATTAAAATGATTTCAAATTAATTTAAGAAAGTTCTTAATCTAAAATTATGAATAATTATTTTATTTGAATTTTTAGATAAAGTTTTAATTAAATTCTTATAATATACCTAAATAAATATTAATTTTAAATAAGAAGAAAAAATAAAGGGAGATGACAATTATCATAAGTTTGTTGTTTTAATTTGAAAATGCATAATTTTAAATCATTTTAAAATTTTATTTTTGTAGATATTAAAAAGAATTGCAGATTAAATGTAATAAAAATTGATATAGATTATATAAAATTTTAAATAGTTAATATATTTGTAATTTAAAGACTTTGGTAATTGGTGAAATTAGAGATACCATGATGAATATTATGATTTATATCCATAAAACATATAACCAATAGATTTAATTAAATATTTTGTTTGTTTTTTATTCTCCTGAAATAAATATTAAAAATCATTTTATGTAAAATTGTCAAACTATTTTAACTATACTTGAATTTTCACAATATAAATTAAATTTAGTAATATTATATGAAATCCTTTATATATAGATAAGTAACAAAGAAAAAGAGATAAAATTGAATGTCATCTTAAGGATCTCATTAATCTTTTTACCATTATTTTAAGACTTTGAAAAATATTTAATAATTATGAGTTTCTTTCTAAATATAAAATTCCAATAAATTCTGAAAATAACAATACAAATTAATCTTTAATTTAAGATTTAATGATTTTAAATATTAAATTTAATCTTACATTTTTTAATAAATTAAAAATAGAATATAATAAAATCAATCTCGAAGAATTCTATCACCATACGCTTCTAAACCCATATTGAAAATTTGAGATAATTATTATTCATTAAATTAATTTTGATTTTAAAGAGGTTGTTAATAAGGATATTACCAACAATATGGAGTATAATATGGATACATCATAGGTGGATATTATTTATACTATTGTAATTTTGGAAAATATGTTGGTTTCTATTCTTTTTATACCTTTTCTTCACCTTTGAAAGAGAAGGATGATTAATAAGATTCATCAGAAGTATTTACTGTGATAGTTTTACTGATTTTTTTAACTTTTCTCTTAGGAAAATACTCTTCCTTTGATTAATTTCTTGCTATTTCTAATTTTAAATAATCATCTAATTATTTTTGTTTAATTTAATTATTTTTTTACTTTTTGATTTGATTTGAATTAAAGTTTATTTGTTGTTATACTTATTATTTCATATCTTTAGCCATTTTTTTCTTATCTCTTAACTATTTATTAAATTCAATTCTATCTGCTAATGTTCTAATTAAAGGTTCACTATCATCTGGCATTAATTATTTAAAAATTGAAGCAACAATTTCAAAAGTACTTTCATTTATTTAAGTTTATCTCCTAATATTCTCTAATAATTAAATTGCAAATATATGTGATTATATTAATAATTAATTTTATGAATAATTATGAAATCTTTTTACAACTCCAGTGAGTGAAAATATCGCCTCATTTTGATTGATTTCTATATTTGCATTTATTTTCATCATTTGTTTTAATACTTAAAAAAGTATAGATAGAAATTCTAGGAATTATTCATCACCAATTTCAAATAAATTAATATCTGTAAATTCAACATCAAGATCATTATAATTAATTAATTCTAGTAATCTTTAGCATATTTATTCCATTTAACATTTTGAAAAATCATTTTGTTTATTTTATAAATTTAATTAATGATTTTGATTGTTATTTTTTAGATTATTTAATCTTTAAAATAAAATTGGAGCTATTTCATTAAGTGCCTATTCAGCATCAGTTTAATTATTTGCTTAAGTAATTTTTTTATAAAATTGATTCCACCAAGAATATTTAATACAAAATCCTTTTAAATTTTCAACCAAATTATTTAAATTTGTATCCAGTGTTAAAGGAATGTTTCTTTATAAATCTTCTGGTAATTATGGAATTACTTATGTTTAAGTAGGTAATTTAAGATCACTCTTAAGTATATTTCTATCAAATTCTATATTATCTATTTAATTTATTGAATAGTTCTATGGAAATAACTTCTTTTCATTATTTTCAAGTATTTATTACAAAATTACTTAGATTTCTTCTAATGTATAAACTTCTTTAATAAAATCAGTTTTACAACCTTATACTTCAAGTATTTAAAAGATTTTAGGAATTTCTTATGGAAATCTAGTTAAAAGAAGTAAGGATATAGTTTTCATTTTTGCTAACCATTAATCTTTAGGTATAGTTTTACTAAAAGATCCTAAAATGATGTTGATATCAAATTTGCATGATTTAATTAAACTATGGGTTCTACAATCATAAACAGAATTTGAATCAATAATGATTATTGGTTACATAAATTAAAAAAAAAGAAGGAGAAGTAAAATAAAATAATTATTTTAACAAAATCCTGTTTATATTTATTTTAAATATTTAAAATTTATATAATATCATATTCTAAATCCAGATTAATAACTTGCATTTGGTTATCCTTACTTAATAAATTGAGAATCTCCTTATTTTAATAAAAGTCCTTTAGGAATGAATTCTCCAACTTGTTATAAATGTTCTTGAAGAATACGATTTTTTTCTTCTTCTATAACTTATTATTTATATGCTTCTTCTTTTCTTTTTCTTTCCAATTATTCGAGTTCTCTTTGTTTCTCCATTTAATACATTTCTAATTTTTTTTACCACAATTTTTCAACTTCTTTTTTATGTTCAATTTCTTTCATTCTTCTTTTTTATTATCCCAATTATTCAAGTTTATCATCCTCAGCAAATTTTTTCATCATTTAATCTCTAAAATCTCTTTCCATTTACTATTCTTCTTCCTTTTATCTTTATTTTCTTAATCTAGCTTCCTGTTCAGCTTGCTACATTTCTCTTTTTTAATATTCTCTTTTATTAGCTTCATCAATATCTTTTTATCTTTATTATGCATCATATTATTCTTAATAAAGTTAAAATCTAAGTTCAGTCAATAATTCAGCTTCTTATCTTCTTCTTTCTTCTTCTTCTTTTAATTTTTAAAATATTTTATCTCTAAAGTAATTTTTAATTATTATTATTACTTAGCTGCATTTTCTTCTTATTTTTTTACTTTAATTTCGTAAGCTTATCTATCTTTTTCTTTCATAAAATCTAAGTATTTTTAATTTTCTTCTCTTTCTTTTTGTTTAATTCTCTATATTAATTCAGCTTTTTCTCTTAAAGCTATTTACATATCAGAAAAGGCAATTTTTTTCTTTTTTGCTTGATCTTCTAAAAATTTGCGATCTTCATGAATTAATTATGATATAACTCTATTAACTTATTCTTTCTCATATATATATTATTCTTTTGCTTCATCTCTTAATTATTCATGTTCTTTCATTTATTTTTATAATGTCTATTTATGATAATGAATTTAAATACATATTTTCCCTCTAATCTCTATTACAATCTAAATCTTTCTTTATTTCTTTCTTCTTCTTATTCTCTTTTCAATTTCTCTAAAATAGCTGCTTCAATTTCACTTTCTTATTTCTATTTTTGAAAATATAACTGACTATATATACCAGCTCTTAAATTCTTCTTAGTTATTATTCAGCTAATTATTAAGTTCTTTCTTTGGTTACATATGCAGTCTAAACTTTCTATTTAAGGAGTTTGATTTCTTCACTTTCTGCACAAATTCTTTCTATTTCTCTTCTTTTTTTTTCTTCTTCAACTTTACGTTTTTACAATTCTCTAGCTAATTAATCTTCTAAAGAATATGGATCTGTTATCGGATTTCTATTTGAGTTATGAATCATTAATAATATTAATTATAATATTTCATTTTAAAACATTTGCTTGAATAAGTGGGAGTAAATTAGCATTTGGTAAACTTTGATTTCTATTTTTATTTGGTCTTATTTTTCTTTTATTCGGAGATAGTTCTTCTAAAATTGGTAACTTGTGATTTTCTAAAGAGATTTTAGATTACTGTTGAGTTATTACATCCAATAAACTAACTTCTGCTTAACTTTGATGTCTATTAGGTCGAATCTTCATTATTGGTTTTCGAATTTACTATATAAATCTTTTTTATTATACTTTATTTTATTAATCGAGTATCATAAGAATTTCAGGATGATTAGGTTTTTTACTTACAACATTAACACTCCCTTTCTCTATAGTCTGTTAACTAGACACATCTTCATAACTACCATTTACACTCATTATTTATCTAGGGTTAGGACTGGCTTATTATGAATGCAATGATTTTATTTATTTTCTATTAATGAAATCATAACAAGGTTTTGGTAACATAGATGTAAAATAATGGTAATTCTTTGGAAATTTTATAGTTTACAATAAAGTATTAGGTTCATTTTCTGTTTATTCAGGTTAAGGTATCTCATCTTATCTTTTTAATATTGATGGAAATTGCAATAATTTATCACAATTTGGTCTTAGATGTGGTTATACTTACAACATTGATCTAATAGCATTATTGAGATCTTATGAATAATTCTGAGGAATTTTAGGATAATATCCACGAATTACTCTTTAATATAAAGCTTCCATATTTTCTGCATGAAAAGGAGGCTTCAGTGCTGCCATTTCATAAATAACACATCCCAAACTCCATATATCTGATTTTTAATCATAAGGTTAATCTTTCCATACTTCTGGACTAGCATAAAATGGAGTTCCTGTCTAAGTGTATAATAATCCTTTTTTTGCCACTTTTGAAACATTCATATCTCCTAACTTTACATCTCCATTTTAAGATAAAAATACATTGGCACTCTAAAGATTATTATTGTTCATACTTTCAGATCTCTATGCAGTATTTTCAATTCATGTAATGCCTTCAAACCTCTTACTATTTAGATGAAAATATTCCAAATCGTTTGTTCTTCAATCTATTTATTGTTCTTTTTACTATTCACTATCTTTTAATATAAATCACTTCCATCTGCTAATTCCATCACTATACTAAATAACAAATTTTGATTTTAACATACCATAATGAATTACTTTATAAATCAATAAAAGCTTCCTTATAACATATAATATTTGGGTGTTTAACAGATGCTAAAATCCGTACTTCGTTCATTGAATTCTACTTCTCTTTTTCATTCAAGTTCTATAGTTTTACTTTTTTTAAAGCATATTCTTATCCATCTTCCAATCTTTTTACTTTATAAACCGAAGAAAATGCACCTTCCCCTAACAATTGTTAGTTTATACAATTATTACCTAATTTCGAGATTACTTAAAAATCCTTTAAAGACATTCAGATTTTGCTCTATAATTATTGTTAAAATAAATTCATATAATGAACTTGAAATATTCAACTTTAAAACTTCTACATATATTCTCCAATATACCTTATTTTTTTATTAATTTCTAAATCATTTTAACTCATTTGTAGTTGCTAAGAATAAATTCCATTTTTTAGACTCCTTAAGTAATTCTTATAAATAAGGTCTACATTATCTAATTCTCTTAAATTATTAGACCAATTGTCTACTTATATTTTAAGTGAGAAGATATTATATTTACTAATTAACCTAATTTTGTTAAAATTGAAAAAAATAACTATAAATCTAGTTATTTTTTATTCAAGCTTAAGCCATGGTCAAATGATAAACAATTTTTAGATAAACTTTTATTCTCATAAATAATTTAAATTCACTTCTAGTCTGTTGAAGAAAAGTTGGATTGCTATAAATTTTGTAATATATCCGTTAATATCTTTTTTACTTTTTCATTCCATTTATGCTTAAATATAATATTTTTACTAAATATAATTTTAACTTTTCATTTATTTATCTTATAGAGATGGAGATTTTAGAAGTTTTAATATGATATTATAAATATGATTATGGTTCTTAAAACTTTTATTGATATTACTAATAATTTTATAAATTTGGGAACTTATTTTGATAATTACCAATTTTGTTCAATTATTGATCATATTAATTTTATTATATTAATAAAAACCTTATTAATTGTATGAAAGTTGAGTATTCTATTGATATTTTTATAAATTAGCTTATTATTTTAATTATTAAGTCTAATTTTTATTGTTTTAAATATTTTAGCCTTAAAATTCATTTTACCTTAAGATTAAGTAGGAAGTAAATTAATAGAGAATAAAGAGTTATAATACCTCTATATATTTATTATTAAATACATGTATTTTGTAGAGTAATAAAATTAGAAATGATTATTATTTTTGCTATGGAAAGAATAAATGATTCCTTTAAAGATTTAAATTCTTTTAAATCAATAATAATTTATCTATTTCTTCAGATTGTAATTCAGATGCGATAGTATGCAAGATAAAGTGCATATTTTGAGATTGAATTTCTATAATACAATAAATAAAATATCAGAAAAAATCAAATAAGAGTAAGAGTTTTATTGTCAGTAACTGTCTACTAATAAAATATAATCTATTGGAATTACTGTATATTTTTAATAATAAAATGTCACTAATTAAATGGAACTACATATATAGATATTTATTCATAAATAAATTTTTATTTTGTACAAAATCCTTAAAATGTTCAATAATTCCAATATATCATACACAAATTCTAATAGTTTGAATCGCTAGGAATTACAAGAGTTTAGAAACTATGTACGTAAAACAGCCTAAGCAAAGATGGATGGTACAGAAGATAAGTAAAGACAAATTGCAAAAACCTTTCATTTAGATCATAAAAATTTAATGTCATTAAATTAGAGTCCATTATAAAGTAAGAAATTACATGTTGATCATGATATATCATAACATCATCACTTAGCATCTTTATCAGATTGGAAGAAATTTGATAGATCTACTTCTTAAAGTTTTGTAACCTTTGATGCCAATACATGGAAAGAAGATCAAAATAGCATGAGATAAAGAAAGCTGCAAACTCCTTCTTTAAATGCAGCTGACTTGATTAAAGTCAACAGAACCCTTTCAGGATTAAGTACAAAAGAAATCTAAAACTTAAGTGGACAATATTATCACTAAATTTAAGAATTAGAACACACTGTTAGCTCAATGTTGAGAAGAATAGATTTCATACAAACTTCAAAATCCAATTATTGAACACATTATAATGATTATATATTAACATTGTTAATAATAAAATTATTTCTTGAAATATAATACTCTTTAAAATATTTACTAATTATCACCTTTAACTATAAATTCTTTAGAAAAATAATTATTTTTTTAATAATTTTTATAAAGAAATAAAATGGAAAGAAATTGTTTAATTCCTTAACATTATGATTAATAAATTCTTGCATATTGTGTCACAGAAGGTTGTAAAAAGCCAGCCAGAGTAGTTTGTTTTAAATGTGTGAATGATCATTCAGGACATTAAATGATCTAATTATAAGAAGAACAAAGGTTTTTATAATAGCCAAATATTGTTTATACTATGATAAGATCAAAATTAGATTTAATGAAAAGACATTTTCTTAAAGGCATCTCTGCTTTAGAGGAGGTTTTGCTGAAAAATTATGTTCCAGAATCTTTAAATAATATTGGAAATCAATAAATAACAAATAAAATCAATTGTATTTTAAAGTTAGAGAGAGTTTAAAAATTAATAAATGATAGATTAGATAATATTTTTGAGAACACATTGAAATAAGTAAAAATAACATATCAAGATTTAACTACAGGAAATGAGTTTTAATGTAAAAAATAACAGAATTATTAGGTTATGAATAGTTGTAAAAATAAAATTATTAAGAAGCAACTAGATTGATTGATGAAACATTACAATAAAATAGTAAAAATATTTTTTTAAAGTTGGCTAAAGGTAAAAGAATAAATAATGAATCTAGCTGAGATTTGTTCAGTTTAAAAGAGGTGTTAAGATGCTAGAAGGATTTATGAAGAAGTGTTAGGATAAGATGATTCAAATCCTTGGGCTTATTTTGAATTGAGTATTTTTATATTAATAGAATTAGATAAACTTTTGAACGATTAGGAACGGAGATGAATATAAAATAATCAGAATTTATCATTAACAATTTATATAAGTTTTTCTATGTCTGATTCATAGTATTTCCAGCAATCATCCCAAAATACCTAGACAAATCCCAATTTAGTTTTTAACTCAAAGGATGCTATATTTCCTATGCGTTTAATTCTCTTCTTATTCTTAACTGCAATTGATTAATCTTGTTCAAACTATTTCTCTTTACATGCTAAACTGTTTAATCTATCAGAAGTGTGCTTTGTATAAACAAATTATAAAGTAAATGAACATTTCATTTACTGCATAGTAACATAATCACGTCTAATCATGTCTATTAATGATTACTTTTCATTCTCATCTAACAAATAATCATCCCTATTAAAAATTATATTATATTTTCCATCCTTTACCTCCTTAGCTAAAAATTTCTTATAATAAATTCCATTATCAATTGTTATCCATCCAATAATGTTCTATTTTATTAAACTATTTAGAACTGATTCTTAAGACCATAATTCTTAGAACAATGGATAATGTAATTTCAATCTATTTAATTTAAATGCTATAGTATAATAATTATCATTCAAATAATAAGAATGAATTGCAAATATCACTGGTAGAAATATACCTAAAGCACATATATATTCTTAATCTAATCTTTACCATAATAATTATACTCCTCCTCCTTTAGTTAATTATCTTTTCTAATCTCTAGTAATAAATTCAAATGAAATCAAATTATCATGAGTAATAAACAAAGTCCCTTCAAGTGGCAATTTTTAAGATCGTAAATTATCTATGTTAAAAGATAAATTCAAAGAATTTTTAACATTCTTTAAATTTATTCCAAAATATTCTCTTAATTTATAACTCAATACATCTTATCCATAAGTTGTAATTAATATCTGATGATTCTAATTTATTTAAATATAACGCTATTATATCTTATTAAATTAATAATAAGTCATATCATTATTCTGACAATACTAAAAATCTTCTAGCATCTCATAACTTGCTTATAATAATAATAATAATTCATTATGTCCTTTATGTTCAATAATATTCTATATTTCAATTTATTAACTTTTTATGGATTCTTAATTATTAAATTATCTAACTTCATATTGTTATAAAGACAAATTCAATTAATTTTATTTTTATTATTAATACAGCTTAATTCTAATAATATCTTATTCTTAGACTTAAATAAATATATTCTAAAATGACTTAGATGAATTATCCTCAATCGTTTCATTCTCTTTTTTTAATAATCTCTCCTATAATACACAAGTTTTTGATCTAAACAAATATTTTACATGTCTATGAACAATTGGCTCATGTAATCTTATTATCGTCATTATCAATGTCATTATTCCCTAAATATATGCTAAAATAGTTATAAGCTATTTCTAATTCTAATTGTAATTTAAAATTATTGGCTAATATATATACAGTAGTCTATACAATTAATAATCTTGAAACAATGAAAAGCCATCCGTAACTTACATTTACTTTAATATAAGTTGGTAAATATTTTCTTATAAACTTATCCATTGCCGTCTTGTATATTTCAGCTTACAATATTGATGGCGAATGTCTTTATAATTTTATCAATATAATTGACAAAATTATCAATAAAATGCCTCTTAGATATACTAAAAAAACGGCAAACACATTCTAAGATTCTAAATTGCAATCTCCTAAAATGCTTGTCATTTTATAAAAATACCTAACACCTAAATCTTAACTAAGCAAAACCAATAAAATGGAAATAATTACAATTAAGGTCACTCCTAACATCATTTCTTCTTTCAAATTAAAACTTTTATAATTCTAAACCTTTATTTGACAATATAGATTCCCTATTAATAATATATTTAATATTGCATTTAGCATTGAAGCTATTAAATTAGGCACAGCTATTAACTTACAAGTTATATCAGATATTATTATTGTTGAATTTGATTTATTTTACTCATCAACTACATAAAATTGACTAAAAATCATAAACATACTCATTATCTAGAATAAACACAATTTTCATACTGTTTATGAGAATAGTATGCCAAATAAAATCTATCCTGGGTTATGTCTTAATCGTTTGACTCTCTATTAAACAATCATAAGTATCAAACTTAATACTATAATCATCCCATATATTAAGCATAAAGCAATAATTTTTAACATTTAATATTAATCTATTTTTAAATTAGATTTTATAAAATTTCACTCTAAATATCAACTACTTTAAAACCTCATTCTAAACAGAGATAAATATAGATAGAATCTTATATGAAATTTTATCATTTTTCATTTAAAACTATCTTTATGCTACAACTTAACAATAACATTTAAGTTAAATTATTCAATTAATAATATAATATTATACTTCTTTCTAATTTTAAGACAATTCTCTCTTATATTTTTTTTTATAATCAATCAAAAAAACATAAGCTTCTTAAAATAAAAAAAGTTCTATACTCATCATTTAAATAATAGTAAAAAATTGATTAATCTAATATTTTTTATATTACATTATATTAAGTAGTTTAAATATATATTTTTAAAAAACAATATATTTTGAGAATTTTTCTTAATTAGTATTTTAATAAAACAAAACTACAAATTAAAACATTTTCTTAACTAAATAATGGATTCAAGTATCTAAATTTTAGAAAATCGATGTTAATTGTGCAAGAAATTATCAGATTATCTGTTTACAATAAATGATACATGTGTAATTTCTAAAATGATAAACAAAATTTACATACCAAAGACTATTTTAAGAGGTTCAAAACTTTGCAAAAAATGCTAAAAAGTAGTTTAATCAAAGATTAGAAGTAAAAGATATGTGAAATGCCTCAAATGCAAATGCTATTATGAATACTTGGATATTTATGAATATCAAATTGTTTAAAGTATTTGTCCAATATGTAAATTTCAATTTAAACATTGTTGGATTCATGAGTCTAAACCCTCATTGTTTAGATAAAATGAAAGACGATTACCTTGTTACAAATGTGCTAAATCTGTTATTTTGAGAAATATCATAAAAAGCTTAGCCTTATTTATAATTAGCCCAGTTTTAATATGTTTTGAAGGAATTGAAGGAGTAGATGAATGGCCTTGTTTGTTATAAGCTTTATTTTTCCTTCCTCTACCTATTACAATTCCAATAACAATTCTCATCATAATATTTTCCAAACTATTGAATATCTTTTTTAGCATTTCATGCTTCATCTAGTTCATATGGTCAAAATAGTAATAATAGAAGCAATGGTTTGTTTGAAAATACTTTATATT